ATTGTTGATGCTGGTTGCGCTCGTGCTAGGGCGCGTGGTTTTGCTGTTTCTTGTCGTGTTGGTCTCGCTGGTGGTGCTGGTGGCGCTAGTCGTGCTGCGCGTGGCGCTGCTGTTGCCCGGCGTGTTCGTGGCAACACTGCATATTATGGCGCTGGCATTGCTGTACGTGGTGGTGCTGCTTGCTGTCGTGATGGTCACAGAGCTGTCACCAGCGGAGCTAGGGTTGGTTGCATTATTGCAATGCTGCGGGTGGAGTTCGCGCTGCTGCTGGTGGTGCTGCTGGTTCCTGTCGGGCTGATCGCACTGTTGGTGTTTCTAGCCTTTCTTGGGCTACTGACAGAGGCTCTGCTGGTGGTGCTGGTGCTGTTGCGAGTGGTGCTGATGTTTCTTGTCGTGCTGGTCAGATTGGAATTTTCCCGTTGCGCTCGCACTGCTCCTTCTGCATGCCCGACGCGTGGCGACCCGCAGCTGCAGCGGGCAACGGCGACGCCGGCAGCGCGGCAGCCGCTGGACACCCTGGACGACGACGGTGGGGGGGTGCTGCCCAGGGGCCACTGTTGGCCAGGTTCGGCGCCGTTGTTGGCCGGGCAGGGCGGTGTTGCTGGGCGCTGGATCTGTTGGTTGGGACAGGCGGCAGCAGGCGGCGGGCGCTGACGCAAAGCCCACGACGAGCCATTGCCCCGTTCTCGCCCTCGCCGCGGCCGTCCTGGGCAGCGCTGCTACCATAGGCCCCGGCTGGCGCAGCCCCTCCCCCTGGGAGAGACCGCCAGTCGGCTTTGGGCAGGTCAGCAGCTGCTTCCGGGGCGGGGCTCGCACCTCCCAGCCAAAGTTCGCAAGCATGGGCTGCGCACCCTGGTCTGGAGCTCCCCCCAGTGTCCAGCGCAATATCGAACGATCCCGCCGTGACGCTTTGCGCTGAAGCGAGGAGGCGTTTCCCCCTCGCCAGCGGGGGTCGGCGGTTCGCGCAGTTGGTGCCCGTCGTGATCGTTCTGGTGGAACTGCTGGTGGCATTTATGGTGCTGCTTGCTCGTGTGATGCCGCTGGCTGGACAGGGCGCCGGCGCTACGCTTTGGAGCTGCTGTCAGGACTGGGCGGCGGCAGGCGGCGGGCGTCGACGGCGGGCCCACGACGAGTCACTACCCCGTCCTCGCGCTCGCCCTGGCGCTCCTGGTTAGAGCTGCTACTGTAGGCCCCGGCTGGTGCAACCTATTGCTTGGGAGCGACCGCCGTTCGGGCTCGGGGCGAGCAGCAGTTGCTCCCCTGGTGGGGTTCACAAGCTTCGCGCGGACGGATCGTGCATTTATGCTCTGGGGCGCCCGAGTCCCCAGCGCAGAATTGAACGATCTGGGCCATGACGTTTTGCGCTGGAGTGAACGCCGCACCCCCCGCTTGTCTGGCCTGCGGGGGGTGGGGGCGCTCGCGCAGTCCAGCGCGAATCGCCTGGCGCTGCATGGTCCCGTCGTGCTCGTTTTAGTGGAACTGCTGTTGGCATTTATGTCGTGCTGAGAACTGTGGTACTGCTGGTGATGTTTGTCGTTTGAGTTGCTTCGCGTGGCGTTGTGGCTCCCAGTCGTGCTCGTCAGAGTGGCGCTGCTGGTGACGCTGGTGCTATTGCGTTTGGTGTTGCTGTTTGTTGTCGTTGTCGTCGCACTGTTGCTGCTGGTGGCGCTTGTGCTGTGTGGCGTCGTGTTGTTGCTCCATTCCCCGTCGTGGTCGTCATACTTGTGCTGCTAGTTTCGCTGGTGCCGATGCGCGTAGTGGTGGTGTTGTTTGCTGTCGTGTTGGTCAGAAAGGTGCTTCTGGAGTCGTTTGCGCGGCTTGCACTGTTATGTCTGCTGGTGTTGGCGTTGGCGTTCTTGCTGCTGCGCATGGGGCTGCTGTTTTTGTTGCTGCTCGATTCAGTGGTGCTGCTGGTTGCGCTTGAGCCAGTGCGCGCGTGCAGTTGTACACCTCGCCCACGATTACGACTCATGCTTTCGCTTCACCAGTATCCACATCGCTTATATCCACTTTGCGCTGGCCTTACCTCAGGCCGCATCCGTGGTTGTGAATGTTGCTTCCGCCGCAGCGCAGGCCGCATCCATGAATGCAACTTTTGCGTTCACATCTTCGCCGGCCAAGTCAACAATTGCGAACGTTGCTCTCGGTTCAGTGCTGGCCACAGCCGTCATGCCAGCCACATCCACGGCTACGACGGCTGCTGTTGCCTCAGCGCTAGCCTCAGCGCTGGGGCCAGAGTAGGACCTCCGACAGGTTATGTTTGCCGCAGTAGGAACGAGGCCAATCCAAGCGACCCGTACGGACCTCCGACAAGTTATGTTTGCCGCAGTAGGAACGAGGCCAATCACTACGAGTTGGTCGACGGCTCCCTGGACGTGGTGAGGGACATCGCCGACTTCTACGGGCTCAGCCACGTGCCCGAGCCTCTGGTTGCAGAGTTCAACATCAAGGCGTCGCTGATATTCCTCCTCCTCCTCCACTTCCCCCTCCGTGTGACGTCGGCAGGCACGTTCAAGAGCGTGACCCGTGTATGCTCGTGGCCCTGCACATACCGTCGCACTTGACGGCAGTAGCAGCGTTATATGAGCGGATGTTGATTGACAATGAAGTTGCAGACGCCCTGGCAGAGCGGGCGGCGAGTAGAGCGAGAGTCTGTTATGGAACGAGAGCAAGGGACGCCAGTATTGCACGGCGAGCTAGGCTGAGCAGATGACGCTGCTTCGAGTTATGCTCGAGCCGGGGCAAGAGCGTGGCACCCGATGTTTGTCTCCCACCATGCCTTCTGACTCTGAGGCTGCCGCCGCTATTCCTCCATCTCCTCCTGCACCTGTTTTAGCAGCACGTTGCAGCGTACCTCACACGCTTAGCGTGAGTGGCCGCCTGAAGCGTTTGCGTTGCAAGAGTAGTGCCATTCAAGCCTCGCTTGAGGAGCGGCTGAGGTCGCCCTGCTATCCCTCGATCTGCCTTCATTACACCGTCACTTTGGCCCCAGGGAGTGAATTTGCACATCGCTGGGGGGAGGGTCACGAATCACAGATTGCACCATCACGCACTCGGAGTGTGGTTACGCGGGTCGTGTGGTTACTCGTGTTTTGCCGATTTGAGGTCCGATCTTCAGATGCCTTGCCGCAAGTCCCTACTGATACCAGGAGGGGATATTCGGTTCGGATCTCTAGGGGCCATCTCCCTGAGGTTCTCAGTGTTGCCGGGAAGGCAGCGCGCCAGACGCCGCCAGGAGGATCGGAGGTTGGGGGGCGAGATCGCAGTGGAAGGGAGAGCCCCCGACCGGGAAATCGGTTTCGGTTTCGTGTTCGTGTCGTGCGTGCGCGCGTCAGGCGAAGCTGCGAAGCTGCGATAGCGCGCGAGAGGAATGATCCCGCGGTCGCTAGGACTATTCGGATGCAAAAGTCCGACCCTCTGGTGGGCGCGCGGTGGCTGGGGGTGGCTTGGGGTGTCGCGACCTGATGTCCGGCGTTGTCCCGATGTTGTCTTGCGGCATCTCGCCGTGTTGGCCCGATGGTGCCTTGTGGTGTCCCGTGGTGTTCCGTGGTGTCCCGCGGTGTCCCAGTGCTGTCCCGCGCTGTCCCATGGTATCCCGTGATGTCCCGCGGTGTCCCGCCGTGGTGTCCCGAAGGTGTCTTGATCGATAGTGAGATCGATAGTGAGATCGAGAACGACCGAGATGTGGTGCCATCGGTAGAAAGTCCGATAATTGAATTGACCGCGAGGTCGATAGTGAGATCGGTAGTTGCATCGATCGTGCGAGCAGTGAGATCGATAGTGAGATCGATAGTTGCAATGATAGTGCAAACGATAGTGAAGGCGATAGTGCGATCGATTGCGGGATCGCCAACTCGAGGGCGCCCCTCCAGCATTGTCATCATCACACCCATCGCAGTTGCCAGCAGTTGGTTGTTTCCCCTCCCCCCAACCTCCTATCACCCGAATGGTGGTCGTATATAGGTATGACACCCACCGTCACGTTGCTATTCCTATTCCTACTTTCCCTCTGGCTCTTCTTCCTCCTCCTGCTCCTTCTCCTGCCCTATGCCTCCTCCTGCTCCTGCCCTACGCCTCCTCCTCCACATCCCCTGTCTCTGCCTCCTCCTCAACAATTACTCAATATGAATACTACTCTCCCTCTTCCCCTGATGACGGTTTGAAAGTATCAGCCCACCCCCCGCGTATTGTTTTCTACACACAGGATTCCCTGGAGTTGGGTTTTCGCTTGCATTTTTCCTGAAATGCTGCTTTCGCTGAGGCGCCGGCCTCATTTTCGGGCCCCGCTCGTTCCGAATCGTGCTCCCGCCGCAGCGCTGGCCTCATTTCCGTGCTTCCGCTCGTTCCGAATCGTGCTCCCGCTGCAGAGGTGGCCTCATTTCCGCGCTTCCGCTCGTTCCGACTCGTGCTCCCGCTGCAGCGTTGGCGTCATTTCCCGTGCCATGCCACGGCATGCAATGCAATGCTAGGTTGATGCTACGCTTTGCGGTGCTCTTCTACGCCATCCCATGCCGTGCTCTACAATGCATCGCGTACCCTTTCGGGATCATTGCTCTGCTCGACATCCGACTGTGCGAGTAGAGAGTGGATCTACGCCATGGTAAGGGATGGGAGGGAGGGGTAGGCTGTCAGATATGACGCGGGCGCACCTAGCTTGTCCTGCCCCCTCGCCTCCCCCCTTCACCCCTCACTCCTTCCCATCTCCTCCGCACTCCCATCTCTTTGCGTTCGCGTTCGGTTTGCTCGCGTCCGACTTGCCGCGTGTCCAGGCTCTTGAAGAGAGCACCCGTCGTGAGGCGTCGGAGGAGGACTCTTTCCCCGAATCCCTTGTCAACATTTCCTCTGACCGGTCACCGCGCTGTTCTGGATCCAGAGGGCTCCCTCCCCTCTCCCCCATTCCTCGCCTGCAGGGCCGGCTGACGCAGCTGAACCTCATCAACGACTCGCTGCGCCGCCTGCTGCTGTGCCGCCTCGACCGCAAGGCCTCTCCGCTGTTGATCTCCGTCGGCGTCCCGCTGTTCAAGCCGCTGCCCGACGGCTTCATGACCGAGGTGGCGCTGCCGAGCAGGTGGCGGCCCGCCCTCGAGGGGGCGGCGCTGCTGGCGCCGCTGATGGGCAGGAGCGCTTGGCCACGCGCGGAGGGTGGCTCCGATGCAGTCGTCGACTACAGTCAACCCGCACAGGAAGGGTGGGCAACCTTCCCGAGGGTGCCCCTGCAGCCTTGACTCCTCGGTCCATCCTTGGCCAATGTCGTTGGCCGTGCCTCGCTCGAAGAACACTTCGAAGTGGACGTCCAAGGCCCTTGCATCCTTATCATGCATAACGATTCTACGGGTCGACTCTATACGCAAGAGTGGCCCCTCGCCGGAGTGACCTTGGGTGCGTGTCCACTGGGGTCCCCCAATGGCCGAGCGCGAGGCGGCCGTGGCGTCTTGCGCGCTAGTGTGTTGATCTTCCCGCGGGCGGCCCCCAAGAAGGTCACTCTTGCGTGTAACCGAAGTCGCAGGGGCTGGTGGTCGTCAACACGTACACGTACATGAATCCACGTTGGTTTCTAGGGTACGCATTGCGTGTGAACGTATGCGGCTGGTCTCGCGGACTGGGGGGCCGTGCTCATGCAAGTGGTTGGGCGCGTACGTCCTTTGTGTGCTCCCTCTCGTCCTCCTCCTCCGCCTCCTCCTTCTCCTCCTCCTCCTCCTCCTCCTCGTCCTCCTCCTCCTCCTCCTCCTCCTCCTCCTCCTCCTCCTCCTCCTCCTCCCCCTCTTCTCTCCCCCTCCTCCTCCTCCTCATCCTCCTCCTCCTCTTCTCTCCCCCTCCATCCTCGTCGTCGTCGTCCTGCTGTAGGCATGAGGCGCGACCTGCCCAGGCCAGGCGGCTCTGTCGCCTGGCGCGGCGGTCCTGAAGGTGGCGCGCCTGCTGCCGGTCTATCCAGGGGGGCTTCCCTGGAGGACGGGGGCTTCCCCGGGGAGAGGAGGATTGGAGGCCGGAGGGATGAGCTTCCCAAGCGGGGGCCCGAGTAAGGGGCGAAAGGTCTCCCTTGGCAGCAGAAGCCCCCTCTACCTTGATGTGGGGGTGCCTGCAGCAGTGGAAGCTCCTCGCAGCCGGCCCTGACTGTTAGGTCGACCATGCCAAATCGAGGATACCCATGTGTCCTGGCGATTCCGACCTACAGTGAAAACTCATATTATGGACGCACAGATGTCCTCAGGGTACCCTTGGGCCCTTGCCTTTGCGGCCCGTCGTCCTTCGCGGTTTTCACCGGTCAGCCCTTCAAGGTGTTCAAGGTGTCCCAAGCCCTTGCGTCTTTACCGCCCGTCTTTACTACTATAGATTTCAACTGTGTACAAACCGCATGTCCTTTGATGTTCAGGAGCCACGTTGCGGCAACGAATAGTGATGTGTCCTCTCGGGTGTCCTGTCCAATCAAGTCCGACTGTATTTGCTTTGTAGGGCGTGCGGTCCAACTTCCCCTTCCTTCCCTTCCTCGGAAACTGGAGCATATACATTATCAGTGGCGGGCTGTTTTGCAATCCCAAGACAATTTGAGGGTCGGCGACGACGTCGGGGCGGTGTGGTGTATAACTACTCGTTTCCCCGTTTTCCCCTGGCGTTTCCCCGTGTTCCCCTGGCAAGGACGAACATGTATGCACCAAAACCCCGCATTCGCCAGGATCCGCCCGCTTTCCTGTGCGAGTTGCGGTGCGGGGCAAAGCGTCGGTGTATAGAGTTCGGCTCCTGTGGGAAAAAAGCATACAACAAACACACACGTCTGTGGAACAAAAACCTGTGTGTGTGCGTGTTTTTCCCACAGTGTGTTTTTCCCCCACAGTGTTTTTTCCCACAGTGTGTGTGTGTGTGTGTGTTTGTTCCCACAGTGTGTGTTTTTGTTCCCACAGTGTGTTTTTGTTCCCCACAGGTTCCTCGAAGCCTCTCAGTTCCCAGCGCGACGATGCCCCTCCCGGGTGGCGCGGGGCCGACGGGCGCCGCGGTGCTCCGTGGCCACTGGGCGGCCGGCCTCCTCAATGGGGCGGGTCGGCAGTGGCGGCGGTGGTGTCGATGGCCTCTGCGCTGCCCTCGGTGCTTTCGCGGCGCGGGCGGCGGCCTCGGTGCGGTGGCCGACGGTCGACCCGCACAGGAGGGAGGAGGAGGAGGAGGAGGAGGAGGAGGAGGAGGAGCGGCCTTCCAAGTTTCCCCCTGCAGCCTTCTCCTCCGGCCCATCCTTGGCCGCTTGCGCTGGCCGCGTCCCGCTCGCAGAGGGTCGGAATGGCCTTCCCAGGGCGCTTGCATCCCCATCGTGCGCCCCCTGTCCTACGGGGCGACCGCATGAGGTGGCTCGCTCATGACGGTGTGCCCCAGCTGCTCATCCTCTCCGAGATTGCGAAGAACGCATGGCTGGGCTGGCTAAGATACCGACTGGCACGCCGAACGCGTCGAGTTCGGTCTCGCTCTCTGGGCGGTCCCAGTCAAGGGCGGACCTCAACGGTGTTTTGGCGATTTCGTGGGCCGTTTCCGTTTCGATGTCGTTTTGCAGCAAAGGCGAATTCAAGATAAAACGATGAAAAACGGAAACAAAACGAAAACGAAAAAGACCGTTTAGGTCCAGCCCTGGTCCCAGTCGCTCTCCTCCGCCTCCGCCGCCTCGTCCTCCGCTGCTGCAGCAGCTGCCGGGGCCGGGGCGCGCGGCGGGGTCGTGGTCCCTGTCCTCTGGTTGCCGCTGTCCCCCTCCTCTCGGGCCGAACGAAAGGGGGGGATAGGGAAAAGGGGGGTTACGAAATCTGTTGCATGCAGCTGGTTTCGGCCTCTCCGCCGGGCCCATTCCTCGATACATCGGCGCCTCCCGGCGCCGGGAGGCGCCGGGAAAATCAGCTACGTGAGCTGATTCTCAAGCCCCCCCTTTGCTATCCCTTCGTTTGGCCGGCCCGATCCTCGTTGTTGGTCCCCTCGGCGTCGGCTGGTGGGCTGTTCGGCCTCCACAGTCGCTTCCCCTGGGTTCTGCACTGCTGGTGGGGCTCCCGCGCAGGGTGTGCGAACGCTCGCGGGGCTGCAGCCTCGGCATCTCCGTGTGGGTCGGGCTGGCAGACAGCCGCCCAAGTGCGCATGGTAGTTCTTCGGGTCGTCCATCACGCAGTCGATTAGCTATCTCGAACTCGTCGGGAACAAAGACTCCATTTATGGTGCCAGGTGTAAAGGCGCAGGCTTTTTCATTGAAGACGAAGCTTGCTCTGCCGAGCTCAACATCAGTTTGATCGAGATAGGTGGCGGTTGTTTCGGCAAGGGTGAGTTTACTCTGGGTTTGCAGAGTGACGATGTCCCACTTGCAGAGCATCCGACCAGTCTGGGATAGCCTCTCCGTGTGGCAAAGCAGCCGGGTTTTGCTCAGTAAGTTCCTTTGGATCCGTGCTTGCTTGTACAAATAATAATGATAGACTTACGGTCAGTGCCGATGCGAGTGCGCACGAAGAACACCCTCCTTGAGTCAAGCAGGCTACGGAGATCTCCTCTTCCTCCTCCTCAACCCACGCGGGATGCGCTTGAGGCTGCCTAGGTGCATTGGGTGACTCTCGTGGGGCGTGGAAGGGGTGCCGAACCAGACAGAGCACGCAGACCGCTGCCGTGGCATCGCATTCAGCGATCGATCGGGGAGCCGCGCACGCAAGCCGAGCAAGCAAACTGGCACAGGTAAGACCTGGTATTATTCGGAGGGCCGCGCCGATCCAAGAAATCCGCGCACACCTCCGAGAGGGTAGGTTCGGCGGCGAAGTCCGAACCCTGTCCTCGCTGATCAACGATTCAGGCAACTCGTTGGGCCGTGGGGATAGGGTTCGGAGTTCGGCGAACACGCGGCGAACTCCGAACTCTGCCCCCGCCCCCGATCGCTCTGTGAGAACTGATGTCGCCGCCTACCTGTTGCACCTGCTTGCTCTTGCGCGGATTCGCGCCGTCTTCAAGAGCCTCGCGCTGGCGGGGCTCGGAGAGGCGCCATGGGGGGGAAGGGCGAGGGGGCCGGCCTGCTCAGACGGCTCGGAAGTCCCTCGGCCGTCTGAGAAGGCGTCCAGGCCTCCCCCGAAGGCGCAGAAACCTCTCAGAAGGCCGGGGGGCTCCCGAGAAGCCCCGCCGCCTTCTGAGAAGGCCTCCTCCCTCTGACTCCCCCCCTTCGCTCGCCGCCGAGGATGGTCGACACGTCTGGCAGCACGTGCTTGGGCGCTCCGCGACGAGAGCTCGGCTGTCTTCGACCGGGGCCCGAGACCGGCCTCGGGAGGCCAGACGTGCGGGGGCGGCCGCCCAGATGTTTTGCCAGGAGGGCGGCGGCGGGGCGGCGGCGGGGCGGTGGGTCGGCGTCTTCAGCGCGGGCCCCTGAAAGCATCGTGCCGATGCAGGTGTCCTGGCGTCGCTCGGACGTGTGCGTGGTTTTCCTCGGCGAGCACCTTCGAGGAGCATCCTCGACCATCGGACCGACACCAACACGCGCAAAGGCAAACCATGCACGGGAAAAATGGACGTCCGAGCGACGGCGGGGTGCTGTTTTCCTTCTGCACCAGGGGGGCCCCTGCTGGCTCCAGGCCAGGAGGGGCCCCGGAGGACCCATTTTTATTTTAGGGCCGGCCAATCGGGGGCGTGGCCCGCGCCTGGAACAGCCTCTGCAGCCCCTCGGCTCACAACTTTGCGAACCCTGGTGCATCGGGGGTGGACAGAACCCCCAACAGTGACACGTCGATTAGTGAATTGTCCGTTTTCGGTTCTCGAATGGGCGCCGTGGCCGTTATTTTCCGGGCTTGCGCCCGCCAGGTTTGGGCCTCAGGTCGTTTTCACTAAACCACGTTTTACTAAAGGGGGGTCTGTCCATCCCCGAATGCAGATACCAGCGCTGCAAGTACAAATTGCAAAGTTCTTTGAATTTCCTGGGGGGCCGAGATCCTTCCATTTCTGATTGTTCTGTCCTGGGTCTCTTCCTGGGCACCTGGGGGCCAGGAGCAGTTAGAAACGAGCGCAAGTAGAAATGAACACAATTAGAAATGAACGACGTGTACCGTAGCCATTTTGGCTCAAGGCTATGAACCGCCCGACGACCGCGAGTCGGCCTCGGTCCGCGACTTCTGAGCGCGAGGGGGTTCGCGCTTTGAGGCCAAAGCAACTGATAAACGAGTTTTGAGCGCATGGGAGCCGACGGGAGCCATGGCGCGTTATGGGCGTGTGCGTGCGGCACAACCGACAACCACCCGTGGAGGTCCTGGTGCCGTGGCTGTGGCAAGGCGGCTCCCAGGACGGCATCGGTGGTCACATACCAGTGGCAGCAGAACAAGCGCAAGCGGGTGCCGAAGCAGCAGGGCCAACGGCAGCCACAGCGGTGGACGCAGCCGAGGGCCCACGGCTGGTGGACGCAGCCAGTGGAGTGGCCAGCTCTTGCGACAGCCCCGAGGCCAAAGGCATCTGTCCAGGCGCCGGCGGCGAACCACGTCGAGGACTTGGCGCGGCTTTGCGAGAAGCTCCACAAGGAAGGCGTGGTGGACCAGGAGGTGCTGGCGGCCGTGCAGGGCGCCAAGGTCAAGGCGGCCCAGGCAGCTGAGGCGGCCAAGCCTGACAAGGGCTTGGATGACCAGCTGCGCGTGGTGCAGAGCAAGATCACGCACAAGGAGCGCACGGTGGCCAGAGCAGCCGAGTACGTGGAGGAGACGCGCAGGGTGCTGGCCGACGCCCAGGCTAGCCTCAAGGCTGCAGAACAGGCGGCGCAGGAGCGTGCCGACGAGCTGCGAGCCCTCACCGAGAAGCGCGTGGTGCTGCTGCAGCAGATGTCGGCCACGGCGTCGGAGATCACAGACAGGGCGAAGGAGGATTCAGAGTTCATGCAGGCGCACAACGAGCTCAAGGACGCCCAGAGGAAGGCCCATGAGAGCGAGAGGGCCATGCGGGAGAAGTACAAGGACCACTTCGCCTGCGCCCCAGCATCAGGGGGCCCACCTGCAGAGCCAGAGGCCACGGACCCGATGGACCTTGATGAAGCAGCGCAGGAGAAGTTCTTCGAGGACTGGCGCAACGGCATCGGCATCGACAAGGACGTCATGGCGCATAACATGGGCGACATCCTTTCTGTGGCTGATCGCGTGCGTAAGTTCTGTGAGTGCGCGCCCGTTGGGGCAGCCTCACGTCCACGGCGTGGTTGACAGCGCAGGCCAGCCGCGGGCCGACGAGGAGTGCGGGGGCCATGAGAGCCCACGCGAGGCGCTACCTGAGGGCCAGCCTAGAACGCAAGTCCCAGCCCCCAGGGGCACCCGCGAGGTAAACAGCGCGGGGGGCTGGGATCAGTCGCCAAGGTTTTTGCTGGAGCCTGCCGCCTGGTGTACCCACAGGCTCGGGGTAAACGGCGCGCGGGGCAGGCCCGCCTCGACGAGAGCACCTGGAGGTGGTGCTACCGCAGCGCATGCAGAACAAGGCAGGCGCAAACGAGGGCGAGGCAAGCTCTCGAAGGGGATGGAGATCTACACCGCCAACTGCAACACGTGGGCCAAGGGCGTCGCGTTCGTTGACGAATACATCGCCAAGCCGAGCTGCGTCCTGGGCCAGGAGCACAGGCTGGACGATAACTGGAAGGAGGAGGTGCAGGCAGCGACCTGCAAGCGAACATGGGCGATCGCGATGACGCCCAGTGCGACGGGAGCTCACGGGGGCCGCAGTGTTGGGACCTACATCATGGTGCCCAAGTCCATCGGCCTCACCTACGCGCACGGCCAGCAGGGGTGGGACTGCTCACCTACAGGCATGCGAGGGCGCATATGTGCGGCCCGATGCCCGCCGTGGGGCACAGGAGGCGCGCCGCTGGTCTCGGCATACATGTGGACAGGCGAAGGGCTGTCAGAACGCAACCTGCAGATCGTGGACCGCATCGGCGAGCTCACAGAGATGCATGCCGCCCCTAGGATTCTTGGCATGGACGCGCAGTTGGAACCCCACACCTTGCACGAGTCGGGCTGGCTCCAAGACGTGGGAGGAGTGCCCCACTCCACTGGCAAGGTTGCGTGCGACAGCATCGGAGGAGGACGCGAGGTCGACTACTTCGCGGTCGCCAAGGGCCTCAGCCCTGCCCTCAGCCAGGCAGAGAGGGTGGAGGACAGTGAGGCCCCCCCGCACTGGCCAGCGCGGACGCGCTGCCTAAAGCAGCCCAGGGAGGCCAAGGTGCTGCGCTTCATCAAGCCGCGTGCCTTGCCCATGGCGCTGCCAGTCGGGCGCGCGCCGCAGCCGCAGCAGCGGCCGTCGTGGCCGGCAAACCACGCGGGCATGGTCGACCAGGAGGACCTGGACAACTACTGGCGCCAGGTCTTGCGCACGGCAGAGGAGGAGCTCCTGGGCATCTGCCAGGTTCCAGAGGAGGAGCGCCCACGGTACCGCGGCCGAGGCGATGCGCCGAAGACAGTACTACGCCGCTCCTGGCCCCCGAGGCGAGGGATGGCGTCGGGCAAACGGCGGGGGCCACGGCCTGGCGCTGGGCGGCCAACAGGATCTGCAGCCACATACTGGTGGCTCAAGCAGCCAGGGCGAAGCGCCCAGACCCAGCTCGGGCGGCATGGCTACGCGAGTGCCTCGGCAAGGCGTTGCACCGAGGACGACACCGCTTGCGGCAGCTCGGGGCCACGGGACAGCGGCTGGACCACCTCCCCTGCGACATAGAGCACTGGCGGCTGCACGAGGATGGCGCGGAGGAGGGGCTCACCGCAGTTATGGAGATACGGCGGTGGCTCCTTAAGCAGGCCAACAAGATAGTGAGTACGGTGGCTCAGGAGAGGGCCAAAGCGTGGTGGGGTCACCTCAAGGATGGCAGCAAGGGCGCAGCAGGTTTCTTGCACCGCATGGCTCGCTGGCGCCATGCCGAGCGACCCCCCGCGCCCATCGCGAACTACAAGAAAGACGAGGTGGAGTTGCTTGACGGGCAGACGCTGCTGGATGGGCATGCCCACCAGTGGCACCAGCCCTGGGCCTCGCACGGGGCCGACAGCCGAGCAGAGCACGACCGACCTTGGGAAGGACGAGTCTACCCCGCACCACTTGTCAGAGTTTCGGCCGATCGGTTCTGGGAGGCAGCCAGGTGTTCAAGACAAGCACTGGCATAGGCGCTGACTGGTGGCACCCGAGATGGTGGACGTGGCTATCGCCAGAGGGCATCCAGGCGCTGGTCGACCTCGCCGAGTACATGCTCCACCACGTTCATTGGCCTACACAGGTAGAGCGGCTGGCCTACTTCCTGGTGCCGAAGCCGCACGGGGGTGGGCGCCGCCCGCTGGCCCTCTTGTGTTCCCTGGTTAGAGTTGTTGAAACGTTGATGGCAGATGAGTGTCGCAAATGGGAAGAGATAGTCGCACGGCCCTATGACTGCGCTTGCAGAGGGAAAGGTGTTGAGGACGCGATGTGGGACCTCATGCTCAGGGGCGAGAGCTGCCCACATCAACGCGGCTGTGGTGAAGGACCTGTCCAAGGCGTTCGAACGCGTCACCATGCGGCGCCTGTGGGGGCACGGGCGCAAGCTGGGGATGCCAGAGCAGGTAATCCACCTCATGGTGTCGATCTTCACTATGGATAGGGTCGTCACGCTGGATGGCATGGTGGCCTCTACACGGATGCGTACGTGGTCCGCAGCGGCTGCAGGCAGTCGTGGTGGTACACGGGCGCTCAAGTGCTTCACCATCATCTTGCTGGACATGGTCATCGCCAGGCCGTGCCTGGAGGGGGCCAAGAGGTACGTCAAGCTCTACGTCGATGGCACCACGATCCACCTCCAGGGCGAGCGGGAGGCAGTGGTGCACGAGGCGAAGGAGTCTTCGATGGCATACATACAGGCAGCTGAGGCAGAAGGCCTCCCTCTGTCGCTCACCACGCACAAGAACGGCGTCACCAAGAAGGGCAAGAGCTACGTCTACACGGCAGACAAGCAGGCCAAGGCCAAGTTCAAGATCTCGGCGAAGGACTGGGGCCTGGAGATCCAAGAAGAGGGCGTGCAGCTGGGCGTGGACTTCACTGGCGGTGTTGGCGCACGGCGGCGGCCCAAGCAGCAGGAGCGTGTAGAGGTCATGGTCAAGAGGGGTACCAAGCTGAACATCCTTAAGAAGCAGGGCGCCAGCTTAGGCACGGCCAAGGTAGCCAAGCTGGGCTTCTTGCCGTCCTTACGCTACGGGGTGGCCTGCATCGGGGCGCCGCCGAAGCTCATCGAGAGGGCGCGCATCAACATGTCGATGGCGCTGAGCGGCGAGGCCATGGGCAAGGATCGCACCCTGCGCCTGTGGCTCGAGGAGGCCGACCCAGCGGTGAGCCTCACCATTCGGCCAGTGGTGGAGTGGACTGAGGTAGTATGGAGTCGGGCCATGGACGAGGAGGCTATGGTCGCGGCATGGAGGAAGGCGGCAGCGCGGCTGGCCACGGCAGGCACGGTGGCATGGTCGGCAGTCAGAGGACCTGCAGAGGCAGTCTTGAGGACCCTGCGCGACCTCGGCTGGTCATGGCCTGCGCCGTGGACGCTACTCACACCAGCGGGCGTCCAGGTGCCATTGCACACGGTGGCGCCTAAGACGGTCAGGTACAAGCTGGAGAGGGCCATCGAGCGGCAGGTTCTCACGAAGTGGGCTACAGAGAAGGGCATCGCCGAGGAGGTCCCGAAGCCGTTCTTGGAGCCGGTGAGGGCGCTGCTCAAGAAGCGCAGGTGGGCTACGCATCAAGGCGCCATCCAGGCCTACGTGGGGCAGGACTACTGCACGCGGGCCAAGCTCCAGCAACGCGGCACGGTAGCCGACGGCATGTGCCAGCAGTGCAGGCGCGCGTTGGGCACACAGAGGCACCGCTTCGGGCGCTGCGAGGCCCACGAGGAGAGCAGGGCCAAGCTCGCCGACAAGCATGCGGGCATTGTGCAGCGCATGGCGGGCTCAGGAGAGAGCTTGCTGCTCAACTGCGGCCTGGTGGCGCACCCCATCTATGACGTTGAGGGCGACACCCAGATCGAGCAGTGCCACGCGGTCAACGCAGAGGGCGACGAAATCTGCGAGGACGACGTCATGCCGTTCATCTCGGGATCCTGCTTCACTGACGGCTCGCGCAAAGGCACCCCGCGCTCAAGGGCTACGGCTGGCGCTACGTGCGGTTCGAGGAGCCTGATGGTGAAGGTCAGTGCACGGCGCTTGGTGGAGCATACGGTAGCCTGCCAGGGGTACGAGCTACAGGCCATTTGGTATGCCCTGCACAGGGCGACGGCCCCCACCACGCTGGCCACCGATTGCGAGATGGCGGTGAGAGGCACGAGGAGGGGCCGTCAGTGGTGCATGGCGACGCAGAGGAGCAACTGCGACATCTGGATGCGCATCTGGCACGTCGTGGACGAGACCTTCCCGAACATGGATGGCCCCACGGTGGTGCATGTGCGGTCGCATGGCAGAGGGCAGAACGCGTTCCACGAGCACGCCAACAAGATCGCCGACGAGATGGCGGCCAAAGGAGCGCAGCTGGCCATGCCGCCGCAGTGGCAGATCGACGTCTGGCAGGACCGCTGGAAGACGGTGCAGCAGGTGCTGGACTTCGTGGCAGACATGGCAGTGGAGGTTGGCGACTTCGGGGGCGTCGCGAAGCCCACTAAAGAGGAGGCACGGGCGCAGCGCCGACGAGAGGCCCAGCTGCGAGGACGGCAGCCCGAGGCTGACGAGGCGAGGCCTGCCATGACATCGACAGGGCATGCCGCGGCTACGGCAGCGGCAGCAGTGGCGGCGGCAGCGGCAGCGGCTGCGGCAGCAGGCGCGTCGCCTGGGGAGGTGGCTGCCGCAGCGGAGGAGGCTGCGAGGGTGGCGACCCAGCCAGCAGCAGCTTCAGCGCCAGCCGACGACGAGATGGAGGAGGGCGACCCCATCGAGGACCCCGGCGGTGGCGGTGATGCTGCAGGGCCGAGCGCGCCTGCTGGCCCTGTGGCGAGAGGACGGCCGCGGGGCCCGTCGATCAGGAGGCACGACTCCGTCACGGAGGGCCAGTGGTACAGGTGCCTGGACTGCGGTGCGCGCTCCAAAGTGCAAGGGGCCCGAGCGGCGCAGTACAAGCGCCAGCGGTGCCCTGGAGTGCGGCAGCGTGTGATATATGAGGGTGGCTCTGGTCGTGGCGGTGGTGTAGGCGCGCTTGCGCATGGGAGTCGCAGCCGAGTCCGAGGCGCCGTGGCGCCTAGCACCCAGTCGCCCGTGCCTGTAGTGCCTGCCCCTCTTGCCGCTCCCCCGCCTCCTCCTGAGGGGCCAAGCTCGGGGCCAGCCCGAGCTAGTGGCAGTGCGGCCAACAGGCCCATAGACCCAGCGCAGGGGCGCCAGCTGTACCGCGCGGGGCCGTATACCTTTTGTGGCCGTTGCGGGGTGCGGTGCTCAGGGCGAGTCTTTCGTTCCTTAGGTGGCCGCTGCCGAGGTCAGATGGCCTCGAAGCAGGTCACCAGCGCGAAGGCTAAGCTGCTCGGTGGTTGGCACCCCACGCAGGCGGGCGTGCGAGTAGCCGAAGCAGCAGTGCGGCTCTCAGACTGCGAGGTCCGCGCCTTTTTCGGGGTGGCCTACTGGCTGCCCGCCGTCACAGCTCGCGTGCAGCCGTTGCGCCGCGAAGCATTGCCACGGCAAAACAATGAACGACGTGTATGGTTGAATGTCCGGATCCTAATCTGTTTCAGGCGCCTTTCTGCTTCGGAAGTCCAGTGGTTTTCCCTCTTCCCTCCTCTCGAGGGGGTGGGCGGAGTCCAAATCTATGTCCAACCGCCTTCCTATGTCATGCTTCTGCCCACTTCTTCTGACCGACGGGTATCCCAGCGGTAACGTTTGTTTTCGCAGCGTCGACCTCTAGAGGTCCCGACCCCTTCCACTGGACTGGCTTTTAGTTTCGAGTCGTTGTTTGACGGTCCCGGCGAGGCCCCCGCAGGCCGACAGGAACCAACGTTCGTCCGTGGTTATTTTGTATCTCGCGACGCGAGGCTTGGTATCGTTCGGACGTGAAAATTTGTTCCCGGAGGGGGTTATTGAGGAGCATCCTGGATCATCCTGCGAAACAAACCACGCACGAAACCGAAACAAACACAGGGAATGGACGTCCGAACGATGGCCAGGAGAGGGTTGAGGAGTGTCGCTATTGCCTTGGTTCGCTCCTTTTCAGGGGCAGTCTTAAGGGGGGCTAGGCTCAGGGGGGGACGCATCGACTCCCGTAGGGGGTTACATGCGAACCCTACCCCTACCCCCCACGATTTCACAGGGTGAGGGTGGGTTCGCTTCGTTCGGGAGCTCCCGAGCGAAGTGAAACGCCATCCCCCCCCTCAGACATCGCAGGGGTAGGGGCAGGGTTCGCATGTGGCCCCCATGTCCCGATCGCCCACGGATCGCTGCTTGGGGCCTGCTGCCCCACCCCGCCCAGGAGCGAGCGCTGTACGGTCGATTCCAGGTCGATGTTTCCTTCCCCGAGCCGGTCCCCGGGTCGTTTCCGGGTCATGACTCGAGCCTCTAGCGGCCGTTCGGGACGATCCGGGAACCCCCTGAACGCCATCGGCGAGGCGCAGCCGCTGGAAGGCATCCCGAGGCTCCCAAGCCGCCGAGAACCAATGAAGACGCACGACAACCTCGAGCTCCGAACCTTGACCCCCCCCCTCCCTGACGTTTCCCCTCGGTTCCGCACCTGTGGCCGGCAGGAGAGCGCTGACTCTCGACCAGGCCACGCTGGACGGCCTACTCGCCACGCGGCGGGTCCCCATGGACGAGCTGCGGCGCCTTGCGGAGTGCGGCGCGGTGTTCGGGGCAACGTTAGGGGGGGAGTCGGCGAACAGGGGGACGTCTCAACCCCAACTTCGGCAGCGAGCGAGGAGGGGAAGTGAAGAGGAGGAGGACGAGGAGCAGGAGGAGGAGGAGGAGGAAGAGGAGGAGGAGGAGGAGGAGGAGGAGGAGGAGGAGGAGGAGTGAGGAGTGAGGAGTGAGGAGGAGGAGGTCCTCTCAGAAGGCCGCGGCGGCGGGTCTTCTCAGAAGCCCGTTGGCCGTCTGAGAAGTTTTCGGCGTCTTCGTCAAAGCCCTCCGTGCCTTCTCAGAAGGCCCGCCCCCCCCCCCGGGCCAACGTGTGCATTTTTCTCGGCGAGGACCATCGAGGAGCATGTTGCTCACCTTGGGAAACAACACGTACTAAACCGACAAATGCTCAGGGAATGGACGTCCGAGCGATGGCGAGTGCTGGCGATGCCTTCCTCCTGAGCTGGGCGACGCCTTCCGGAGGTGGGCGATCCCCGATCCTCGAAGCATTCCTCGGGGGTCCCCAAACGGTGTGGTGACCACACCGTGCAGTGAGTCGGTGGAGATTCGGGGTCACCGCACGGTTTTGGGACTCGAGTCGTTCTCCGAGGACGTCTCGGGCGACATGGGCCTCCGGGGTCCCAAGACCGTGCGGTGACGGACCGTGTGGTGAGGTCTTGGGGGATTTCGAGGTCACCGCACGGCCTGTCACCGCACCGCTTCGGGACTCCACAATGCCCCGGGGGGGTGATGCCCTCCGTGGGCCAGAGCTCGGGCCTCATGGTGGGGCGCGGGGGGAGGAGGGAGGAGGGAGGAGGGACAACGCTAGAAGGGGAATGGCTCACGGGGGGGGGGTGCATCGACCCCCAATCGCTCATTCATCGCCGATTGGGGTAGGAACGTGCAGATGCGGGCTCCGGGCCCCGTCGCCGATCTGCCCACGACGTGTCGACGACTCTGGCTCGATGTTCCCCCCCGCCCTTGAGCGAGCCAGTCTCCTGTTTTCCGCCACTGCAGAGGCTGTGGTTACGCTCGGGTGTGGTTTGCGATCGGCGCCGTTTGGGCCTACGGGCCCCGACGCTGTCCTCGTCGGACCTCCTCGGGGCGCGGCGGAGAACTCTATCGAGGCCCCCGCCAGTCATCCCGGGCGCCCCCGCAGGGTGCCGGTTTCGGGCGGGGCTTGCACGAGGATCAATCTGTTCCAGAGCTCTTTGGATCGCTCTCAGAGCGTTCCAGAACGCTCTGAGAAGCCCGCGGCGCCCGATACATCTTCAGAGCTGCAAGATCTCTCAGAGATTCTCGATCGCCCGAATTTCTCCTCGTCCTGGCTTCGTCTTACGGTTGCAAACGGCACCCTTCTTCGATTTTCTTAACAAGCGTTGGGGGGCGTCAACCCCCGCCGACAGCCCCACATCGACCCCCGTCGCGGGCAGCCAACGCGCCGAAGGCGCTCCGATCCCCGGCGCGGCGCGAGGACGAGGCGAGGGTAGCCCCCCCCCATTATGAAGAAACCCAGAGTTCCCCCCGTGCTTATTACCGGATATTGGAACCTATACGTTACCAGTGGCGGGCTGTTTTTCAATCCCAGGATGCTTTGAGGGTCGGGGACGACGTCGGGGTGGTGTGGTGTATATTTGTCCCCCGTGTCCCCAGGAAAACGACGAAACATGCACACACACACACCAGGACCCCAGATACACCCGCATCCGCTCTCTTGGGCCGGAACACGCGTCGGTGTATAGATCAGGAAGAGAAAAACACACAGACACAATTGATCGTCGATCCCCAGGAGAATATTGAAAATATGAGAAGTGGGGGGGAAGACAAAAACATGGAACGTATGCGAAAATATAGGGGGATGCGGTTGTTTGTGTGTATCTATTTGTGCCGTCCCAGGGCCCCTTCAATAGAGCTCGGTTCCCGGACCAAGAGACCCCGAGCCTGCGAGCCACGCCCTGCCGAGCCTCCGGCCCCCGACGCCTCCCGCCCAGGTGCAGGGCCTGGAGAGCTGCGGCGGCCTCCTCTCGGGGGGCGCCTCGGCCGACCGCCTCTCGCGCAAGGTCCTGCCCTTGGCCGTGGCATCGCTCGGACGTGTGCATTGTTCCTTCGGCGAGGAGCATCGAGGAGCATCCTTGATCATCTGGCGAAAAATTCGGGGGCGGACAGACAGAAACCCCAACAGTGACACGTCGATTAGTGAATTGTCCGTTTTCGGTTCTCGAGATGGCGCCGCGGCCGTTATTTTCCAGGCTTGCGCCCGCCAGGTTTGGGCCTCAGGTCGTTTTCACTAAACCACGTTTTACTAAATGGGGTTCTGTCCATCCCCGAAAAATACACTGGGAATGGACGTCCGAGCGATGGCCAGGGGCCGTTATCCTGGCCCCGGGGCCAGTGCCTGCGCCGACCGTCGGAGGGTCATCGGCGGCGGGCGAGGAGGGGAAGCGTTGCGGAGGACGGTCTATGGAGAGGAAGCATGTTGCCAAATAATTGCCAGATGTATAAACCATGTTTCAAACATGTTGCAAATATGTAAAAACATGTTTGAAACATGTGTTGAACATGCTTCACACGTTTTAATCACATGTCTAATTCAATGATAGGACTGTTAGAGTGTCCACTGTCGCAAGGGAAGTGAGGATGATGAGGTCCTTGAGGCGATCGCAGACATGGATCCACGGGGTGTGGATTCGCGACGGGTCCCGCTTCCACTGGAAATCGCGGATCTCCGCCGCCGAGCGAGGCGGCACTGGCCGCATTCCGGGGAGGCCGCGCGCCAAGTCCGTGGATCGGGAATCCATGTGTGCGCGCTCCCGACAGGAGGAGGAGGAGGAGCAGGAGGAGGAGGAGGAGGAGGAGGAGGAGGAGGAGGAGTGAGGAGTGAGGAGTGAGGAGGAGGAGGTCCTCTCAGAAGGCCGCGGCGGCGGGTCTTCTCAGAAGCCCGTTGGCCGTCTGAGAAGTCTTCGGCGTCTTCGGGCAAGGCTCACAAAAAGCTCCTCAGAAGGCCCGAGGCCTTCCGAGCATATTCGGAGAAGGCCCGCCGCCTCTCGCCTCCTCCCCGGGCTGGCCGCCGAGACGAGTCGGACTCCAGCACGCCCTCGGAGAATCCAGGAGTGCGCTGGAACGGGATCGGCCTCGAACAATTTCTGGATTCGACGCAACAGCAAAGTTTTTTCCCGGCCCCGCGGCGGGGTTCGTCTTCTAGAATCCTTGGGGAAGGACTCGTCGGTTCTGGGTTGGTCGGCTGGGGTTGATTGGTTGGTTGGTTAGTTGGTTGGTTGGTGGTTGCTTGGTTGGTTGGCTGGTTGGCGGAATTGTTGGTTGGTTGGTTGGTTGGTTGGCTGGTTGGTTGGTTGGTAGGTTGGTTGGTGAGGTGGTTGGTTGGTTGGTTGGTTGGTTGGTTGGGAGAGGATTGCTCGGTTCGTTGGTTGGCGATTTGTGGATTGCGCGGCGGTTGCTTGGTTGGTTGGTTGGTTGGTTGGTTGGTTGGTTGATTGGCGGTTGGTTGGTGGGTTGGTTGGTGGATTCGTTGTTGATTGCTTGGGCGGTTGGTTGGTTGATTGGTTGGAGGATTGGTTGGCTGGCTGGCTGGCTGATTGCCTCACCGGTTTCCAGGAATTTTCCCTCCCGAAGCGACGGGGTTAATTAGTAGGTTGGTTGCTGGCTGGTTGGTTGGTTGGGTGATTGGTCCGTTGCTTGGCCAGTTGGTTGGCTGGTTTTGGGTCGGTGGGTTGATTGGTTGGGTGGCCGGTTGCCCGCTCGACAGGGTGGTCGGCTGGTTCTCCCTTCCCTCCTCCCTACTCTCCTCCCTCTTCCTCCCTTCTCACTCCTCGTTCTTCCCTACTCTTCTCTGTACCTCCTCGCTGTTGTCCTCCTCCTTCTCCTCCTCCTCCTCCGCTAGCTCGGAGGGACCGCCACTAGCGTTTCGGAGCGCGGACCCTGATGAGCGAGCCGTGGAAGCGGAATGGAGGGAACTCCAACATTGCCCCACAGCAGACCATAATGCGAAGATATGGAGTGAGGCTGGCAGAAAAGCGATGCAGGAGATCTTCCCAGTCAAGAAGAAGCAAGGAGGACCCTGGAGTGGCAACTTTTTTGTTGAAACTGCGACGATCCTTGTTGGCCGAACGGCTGCAACTGCGAGTGGACATGGTAGATTCAGAAACGCAAAAGAGGCTGGAGGAAAACAAAGAGGAGTTAGCGAATATACCGAATGTGCTTCGGAGGCATAGAAACGACCTGCAGGCTGCCAGAAAACAAAAACACTGGCTGAGGAGATTTGGCAAGCGTACGAGAACAACAACTTCAGCAATTTGCGCAGATTACGTATCGAGTACCAGCGGAATTTGAGAGGATCAACGAAGAGGTATCATTGTTCGATAGGGGGTTTGTCTGCGGCGCCGCTGGACTTACAGGAGTACGAACAGGATCGCGATGATATGACAGCCGAGAGCATGCCACCCACTGGATGGAGATTTGAGAGCGAAGGTTGAAGGGGACACGCGGGACATGCTGAAGTACTGCAAGGAAGCTGCACAAAAGGAGGGCTTTTCCACCATGGGGCTCCCCAGTGGAACTCACTTGGAGGATTTTGGACCCCACGGTCAACCGGAAGGACCCAGAGCTGGTGAACAGGAAGCTTGATGATCAGAGAATTCGGGCAGCGGATCAACGCGAGGACGACGGGGATGTGGCCAAGTACAGTTCTTTCAAGTACAAAGTCGGCAGGGCGATGCTGCAGCGGACGGGGTGGAGGGCAGACAATGCGTCGGCGCGGACAGCGAGCTGACGATGGAGAAGCGCTGCGAGCGAGTGAGGGGCAAGCGCATTATGTAGGGAAGCGTCAGAAGGCTGGATTGGGATTGCCAGCGACGGAGTGCGATGCAAGTCTGGCGCGCAGGAGCAAGCTGGAGGACATCCGCATCCAGCGTCGCTAATCACAAGCCGCGCCGCTGGACAAGCACAGGTCGATTTCTTTCTCTGCGGAGAAAAGCAATGACAAACGAGACATTGGGGGCGAAAGAGTCATGCGCGCGTGTTTCTCGATGGGAATGGCCTTTCATAGCGGAATCCATTGCAGAGGACAAGCACCGCGCCACCCTTGCTGGGCACCAGGCGGTCTCCGAAATAGGTCAAGTGACGGCGCGATAGCCTGCGTCGAAGCTGCGCGATGGAGAACGAGGCAGGCAGGGGTCAGCACCATTGCCAGCAACTACGACTGCACCAACGCTTTCGCGAGCACGAAGCGCCACCCCCCGCCGGCTTCGGCCTATGCCTCGCCGAGGAGGGGGGGGGCCTTTGTAATCGAGGCGGTGAACTATACGGCGCTGGGCATGGCATTCGCAAACGACTGGGCCCGCGCGCTGACCGCCCAGGGCGCGCAGATGGGATTTACTTTGCGCCCGCGGCAATTTAATGGCGCGCGCAATCTCCACGCGGGGCAACGGCACCAAGAAGAGCGGGAGAAGGACAAGACACGAACGGCGCACGGCGCAACGAACCCGATTACGGAGCGGGAGCGCGACGTCCCCCCCAGCGCGTTCATGGGCGACGTCGCTTAGATCCACGCGACGCGGGAGCTGACTGGCGCTAGCGAGGTCATCTCGGAGCACCAGCTAGCACTCGGCGAGAGCGAGTGCATCTCGGCTCGCCAGGGCGCACCTCCAGCGAGGGACGGCGGGGCCCCGTCGCAGGCCCGCAGGATTGCGGAGCAGATCAACGCCACCGCCGAGCGCCTCGAGTGCAAGTTGGCCATTCGAGGGCGCAGTCTCAGGCTGGCCGAGGCCGGCCACCTGGCGTCTGCGCGGCGCCCCGGGCGAGACGGGGTTTCGCGCCAGCTCCGGCGGGGAGGGCGGCTCGAAGTCACGCCGGCGAGGGGGGTGCGCGCTGGGGCCCCGCTTGCCCGGCGATCAAGGTTGCGCAGGAGAGATTCGGAAGAGGAGCGAGGCCATGCACATAGCCAACAGGCAATGCGGGTGCTTCTGGTCTTCAGATACGTCGGACCAAATTAGGAAAGACACGCCCCAGGTTTTCGATTCGGGCGCCGGCAGGAGCGGGCCGTTGGCATTCGTGCTCGAGGGCCGCCGCTGCGACGCGCTGGACAGCGCCGTGGCAATGCTGGCCAGACGGATGGCAGGAGGCAGAATGAGCTGGGCCCCAGAGGATGGATCGACCAGATGCATCTGTCACGATGAGGTTTTCGATGGTGGAGGACGCCGCGCAGCGCTGCCTCACTTCGAACCCGCAGGATACGATGGCACTTGCAATGGGCATGGCGGCCAGAGGACTTCGGCAGTTTATTGGCGGTGGTATTTGGAGCATAGAAACTGGATCGCATGTGCGGAATCGAGCGATTGAAGAATTGATGGGCACACGTGGCGTCGAGACCCCTGTCTCAGCAGGTTGTCGAAGATGTTCAGGCACTGGCGGGGATCAGCGAGGACGTGGCGAACTGGTGCCCGCAGAGGCACCCCGACATCTCCACGTTCCAAGCTGGCGCAATGGATTGGGGAGCACGGACAGAGACCCCCGATGGGGGCGTCTCTTCGCCTCTTTTAGGTGCGACTGGAAGCGGGGCGCCGAGGGGCAGGCGCGCGGGGCGCGCAATGCAGCGGCGGCGGCGCGGGCAGCGCGCGGGAGAGCGGCGCGCAACTGCCAACCTCTGACCACGGGGTGCCCTTGGTGTTTGAGCTCGTTCGCCAAGGAGGAAATGCGGTGGGCCATGTCAGGGGGGCTTTGAAGGGCCGCGGGATCTGCCGCAGCAACAGAAGCAGTTGGAACCACCCCGTGCAGGAGCCCTCTTCCCTCGACTGCTCCCTCCGCGGCGATCGGGCTCAACCGCTCGGAGAGTTTCAATTCCGCGTTCGCCGCCGCAATCGAGGTCTTCGCAGCGCCTTGCCCTCCACAGGATGGAGAGTGCTTCTTGGCGGCTGCCCCCCAAACCCCACGCGCGCGCAGCGGGGCCGACGCAGAGAGAGGGGGGGGGGGCGGTGGCGACGCGCCGCGAGGGCGGCGAGGGAGAGGGCGCGGACCAGTGGGCAATGGGCGCGGCCAGTGCCAAGGCGGCAGGGGGCGCACCTTCGGCCTTGGCTGCGGCAGCGGGAGTGGGCGGCAAGGGCGGGGGGGGGGCGCAGGCCCCCCCGCCGGCAACCCCAGGCAACGTGCGACTACGAGGAGTCTGTCGACGAGGGGCCCGACCTCAGAGGAGCCACCAGCGGACTCCTGCGCTTAGCCATCCGATCCGCGGCAGAGATGCGAGAGATGAGCCACCTTACCACGGACTTCTACTTCGCCCCAGTCAGCGCATGGGCGTTTCGGAAGTCTCTCGCAGCTGGCCACTGCTACGGGGGCCTGGTCAGGGAGCGGGGCACGGGGCGTCTGCTCGGGCCACCAGGCATTCACGCGGGAATGGCGCCAATGGAAGGCATCTCAGAGGCAGCGACGGAATTGGGGAAAGAGGGCGCTGCGTCGGTGGAAGCATCTATGGTCTTGGCGACCGACTCGTCGAACAACCTCTTGGTTTTGGTGGGCGGCAGCAACGCCTGCAGCCAGGCCGCGGTCACCGAGGCGATCAAGCTGCGCAAGGTCAGCGAGAGCAACCAAGCTCGCAACGACGAGGAGCAGTTCTGGAAGGAGGGCATGGGCAATATCCAGACCAGCACCAAGGCGACCCCAAACTTCCGAGCGGCGCCCCCGAAAGACGCGAACGAGGAGATTCTGGAGAAGGTGGGCAAGCTCTCGGGCCACAGCTCGAAGGCAGCAGCGGGGGTGCTGATCGCGTTCGTGGGCGGCAGGAATCCCAGCCGGCGGCGCCCAAGACTGAGTTGGAGAGGTCGGTGGAACGCGAGTTCCAGCGCCGGCGCCGCTTGGAGAAGAGGGGGTGGCGGCACTAGCGAGGGCACCTCGCGGTGCAAGAACCCCGGCGCCCTGCGCCCGACCGCGACTGACGCGGACATGCGCTTTCACGACCCCCTTCCGCGAAGGATGCCGCATCGAGTTCTGAGGGCGCCGCCCCTCATGAGGCGTTCACAGCGCAGGCGGGCTTCCCAGGAGTGCCCAATAGTTGACGAGCGAGACGGCGGGAAGAGGTTGCGGGGCCAATCAGCATGGACGTTGAGCGCCTTGCAGGCACATGTCCCCGAACGGCAGGCGCCGCCAACTGGCCCTCCAATTTCGGGCTGAACGGGGGGCAGAGTCGCAAAGGAACGCCCTGCGGCGAGGTCTCCCAGGCAGCGACCAGTCCTCCCATCTCATTGTGTTTCCTACGTCGTACATTGCGACGACACGACATCTCCCAGCATCGCACGACTTCCCCCCCATCTCCATATGACCATTTACAGTTGTGGCGATGCGGCGTGTTTGGGGCCTCTGAATGTTTGCAGGCATCAAACGTGCGACATGCATGTAGCGATGAGTCGAGGACAGAAGTGGGGGTTCAGGAGCGGGCCCCGACTTCAGAATATTTCGAGGCATATTTGGGGACTACTGGACGCAACCCAGGATTTCAGAGAGGAGACGATCCCCCGTCGTTTACCATCAGCTCCCACAGCCCATCTGGCTCAACCACAGACTTGGTGCGCAACTGCATTGGCGAGGGCATCTCGGAGTGCAGGGCGCAGAGGGCCGCCCATGGCCGTTGCCAGCGGCGACGAGCGCTGGCCGCGCGGCCGACGCGGCCATGGATCATGCGAGCCGCAGGGGCGCGCCAATAACGAGCCAGGACGCGAGCGAGACCAAGGAGGAAGAGGAAGCCAGTGGGAAAGGGCGCGCGCCAACTGCGAGTTGGCCCTCAGGCGCGAGGAACGGGCCGAGCGAAGCGACGAGGGGAAGCTTCGCCATGGGGGAGGGGAGAACATCGCGCAAGAAGAAGTGTGCCGCGTTCAGAAGCAGCGCGCAGAAGGCAGAGCGTGGGCGACTCGACCCCCGGGGCAAATGCAGGCAGCAAATGCGATCCTCGACGCGGAGGTGCAACCGACGGAGAAGTCGCGCAACCAGAGAAACAGGAAGGTCCTCGAGCGGTCGAAGGAGGCGTCGAAGGCCGCGGTGGACGGCATCGCGAAGAACGGGCGCGTCTTTCATGGAACCGCGCCCCACAAGCGGAACGTTGCAGCGATTTTGTATGTTTCGAGGCAGAAGTGTGAGATTCCCAAGCCTTTCTGTTTTTCTGTGTCCAGGTGTTGTCGCGTCGCCGACCCGCTCCGATGTTGGGCATTCGGCGCGCGACCCGCGCGCGATCTCAGCTCGGCGCGCCATTTGAGCGGCGTCGCCCCCGGCCTGTTGAAGTTCGCAAGAGCGCGCCCGCAGCGCTGGGAATGCGAAGCGGTGGGCCCCAGCTTCAAGCCCCCCCCCCCCCCCCTTCCACAGGGCGCTTCCGAAGCTACCCCCCCTCTATTCTGCAGTGGGGGGCCCAGGCTAAGGGGGGGGGCTTCGAAGCCACCCCCCCTCCCTTAGGCGAGGCCGGGCTTCCCTTCCAAGGGGGGGGGGGCTCGGAAGGCGCGCCCCTTCCCCCCTTCCTTTTTGGTTTGGACACATGGGATGCCTCAGCTTCAAGCCACCCCCCCGTCTCCCACCCATAAGGGGAGGGGTGCTTCCGAAGCTACCCCCCCTCCCTCCTGTAAGGGTCCCTAAGCTGGGGGGGCCCTGGCCAAAGGGGGGGGGCTTCGAAGCTGCCCCTCCCCCGCTCCGCCCCTTTTCCGGAGCAGAAAGCGAACCCGGGTTTCCCTTTCAAAGGGGGGGGGCCTCGGAAACTACCCCCCTTTTTTTCCCTTTTTGGCGCGGGCGCAGTGGGTGGCGGCTTTCGAGCTATTCCCGCCCCCCCTCCTCTGCCAAGGGTGGCGGGGGCTTCCGAGGCTACGCCCCCCCCGTGACCTCCGGAGCTCTGGCAAAATGGCGGGATCCCTGGCGACGGGTGCGCGCCGCAGCGCGAGAGAACGCATTGGAGAATATCGTCGGCCCCTGGTTCGTTGTCTTGTTCTCTTGTGTTTTGGCCCCTGGTTCGTAGTCTCGTTTTCTCGGATCCTGATTTATTTTGTAGTTTTCTCGTTTTCTCGGCCCTTGGTTCGCGTTTTTGTTTTCTCGTGTTTTCGGCTCCTGGGTCGCGGTGTCGTTTTCTCTGACCTTGGTTCGTGTTTTCGTTTTCTCGTTTTCTTGGCGCCTGGGTCGTGGTCTTGTTTTCTCGGACTCTGGTTCGTTGTCTCGTTTTCTCGTTTTTGTCGGCCCCTGGGTCGTGGCTTTGTTTTCTCTGACGCAGGTTAGTATTATCGTGTTCTTTTTGTCTCGGCCCCTGGGTGGTGGTCTCTTTTTCTCCGACTCGTTTTTTTCGTTTCCTCGTTTTCTCGGTTCCTGGGTCGTGGTCTCGTTTTCTCGAGCCAAGCGTTTTCTGGTGATTTCGGCATTTTGGGCGTGGTTTCCTCTGACCATGGTTCGTTTTCTCGGTTTCTCGGCTCCTGGTTGTGGGTCGTTTTCGCGTTTTCTAATTGCATCGGCCCCTGGATCGTGGTTTCGTTCGCTCGGTGCCTGGTTCGTTTTCTCGTTTTTTTCGGTTTCTCGGCCCCTTTTTTTTTTGTTTTCCCGGTTTCTCTGACCCTTGTTCGTGTGTTCGTTCTCTTGTTGTCTCGGCCCCTGATTCGTAGTCTCGTTGTTTCGGGCCCTGGTTCCCTTTATCATTTTCTCGTTTTCTTTGACCCTGGGTCGTGGTCGTGTTTCCTCGGACCCTGGTTCGTTTTCGCGTTTTCTGTGCCCTTGGGTCGTGGTCTCGTTTTCTCGGGTGCTGGTTGGTTTTCTGGTTTTCTCGTTGTGGCGGCCCCTGGGTCGTGGTCTCGGTTTCTCGGGCCCCGGTTATTTTTTCGTTTCCTCGTTTTCACGGCTTCTGTTTTTTTGTGTGGTGTTTTTTCGGGCCTTGGTTCGTGATATCGTTTTCTTGTTTTCTCGGCCCCTGGGTCGTGGTGCAATTTTTCTTCGGTCCCTTGTTAGTTGTCTCGTTTTCTCTTGTTCCTGGCCCCTGGGTCGTGGACTCGTTTTCTCTGACGGTGGTTCGTTGTTTGTTTTCTCGGCCCTTGGGTCGTGGCCCCGTTCTCTCGGACCCTAGTTCGGTTTCTCGTGTTCTCCGCTTCTCGGCCTGACCCTGGTATGTTATATCGTTTTTTCGTTTTCTCGGCCCCTGGGTCGTGGTCTCGTTTTCTCGGGCGCTGGTTGGTTTTCTCGTTTTCTCGTTGTCTCGGCCCCTGGGTCGTGGTCTCGGTTTCTCGGGCCCCGGTTTTTTTTTCAATCTCTCTGCCCCTGGATTTTTGTTTCGTTTTATCGGCCCTTGGTTCGTTGTTTTGTTTTCTCGTTTTGTCGGCCCTTGGTTCGTTCTCACGGACCCTGGTTCTGGGTCGTGGTCTCGTTCTCACGGACCCTGGTTCGTTTTCTCGTTTTCTTGGTTTCTCGGCCCCTGGGTCGTGGTCCAGTGTTTTCGGACCCTGGTTTGTTTGTATCGTTTTCGCGTTTTCTCTGCCCCTTGGTCGTGGTTTCGTTTTCTCGGACCCCGTTTCGTTTTCTCGTTTTCTCATTTTCTCTGCTCCTGGGTCGTGGTCTCTTGGGCCGTGGTTCGGTTTCTCGTTCTCTCTGCCCCTGGGTCGTGGTTTGGTTTTCTCGGGCCATGGTTCGCTTTCTCTTTTTCTCCGCCCCTCGGTCGCCGTCTCATTTTCTCTGACCCTGGTTCGTGTTCTCGTTTCTTGTTTCATCGGCGCCTGGGTTGGTACACTTTTCTCTGGCCCTGGTTCGTTTTTTCGTTTTCTTGTTTTCTCGGCCCCTGGGTCGTGGTTTCGTTTTCTCGGATCCTGGCTAGTTCTGTCGTTGTCTCGTTTTCTCGGCTCCTGGGCTGTGATCTCGTTTTCTCGGACACTTGTTTGGTTTCTCGTTTCCTCGTTATCTCGGCCCCTGGTTCGTAGTCTCGTTTTCTCGGGCCCTGATTTATTGTATTGTTTTCCTGTTTTCTCTGCCCCTGGGTCGGGGTTTCTTCTGGGAGCGATATTCGCGTTTTCTCGGCCTGGGTCGTGGTCTCGTTCGCTCGGGCCTTGGTACGGTTTCTCGTTATCTGGTTTTCTCGGCCTCTGGGTCGTTATCTCGTTTTCCCGGACCTTAGTTCATTGTCTCGTGTTCTCGGTCCTTGGGTGTTTGTTTCGTTTTCTCGGGCCCTGGTTCTTTTTCTCGTTTTCTCGTTTTCTCGACCCTTGGGTCGTGTCTTCGCTTTATCGGGCCCTGGTTCGTTTTCTCGTTGTCTCGTTTTCTCGGCCCCTGGGTCGTGGTCTCGTTTTCTCGGGCACTGGTTTGATTTCTCGTTGTCTCGTTTCGTCGGCCCCTGAGTCGTGGTCTCGTTTTATAAGAACCTGGTTTGTTTTCGCGTTTTCTCAGCCCCTGGGTCGTCGTCTTGTTTTCTCGGACCCTGGTTCGTTTTTTGGGACCCTGGTTCGTTTTCTTGTTTCTGGGCCGTGGTCTCGTTTTCTCGGACCTTGCTTGGTTCCCTCGTTTTCTCAGCCTCTGGGTAGTGGTCTCGTTTTCTCTGACCCTGGGTCGTCGTCAGTCGTCGGTCGCGCGTCGTCCGTCGTCCCTCGCCGTATTCGCATGACCTCGTCCTCGTCGTGACGACCACAACGAAGTCATACGAAGACGGCGACGGCGGCGACAACGACGACGAGGACGACGACGGCGTCGTACGAAAACGTCGAGCGACGGCAACGACAACGGCGACGGGGGAGGATCTTCCGGCAGGGGGAGTTCAAGGGAGGGGGGGTGGTAGCGAAGCCGCCTTTCCTCCTTTTGGAAAGGGGGGTAGTTTCCTGCAGGGGACGAGCAAACAAATTGAGGAGGGGGGGGGTCCGCCAGAGGGAGGTCAAGGGAGGGAGGGATGTTGCCATGCTCCGCCTTCCCATTTCGTAAGGTGGGGGAGGGGGGGTGGCTTCCCGGGTGCCACAAGGGAGGGGGGGGGCTGCTAAGTGCGCCATTCCCTTTTGAAGTAAAGGGGGGGCGGGAGGGGGAGCTTTCGGCAGACGAGAGTCAAGGGGAGGGGGGGGTAGCTAAGCCCCCCTCCTTTTTCGTAAGGAGGGGAGGGAGGGGCAGCCCGGGTGCCGAGAGGGGGGAGGGGGGGGGTGCTAAGCCCCCTCCCATTTGGAAGTACAGGGGGGGAGGGCGGGGAGCTTCCTGCAGAGGGGGGCCAAAGGAAGAGGGCAGGTAGCTAAGCACCCCCCGCCCTGTGCGTAAGGGGGGGAGGGGGTGTATCTTCCCAGGTGCCGAAAGGGGGGGAGGGCTGCTAAGCTCCCCCCCCTTTTGGAACCAAAAGGGGAGGGGGGTAGCTTCCGGCAGCGGGGGGTCAAGGGGAGAGGGGGGGTTGCTAAGCTTTCCCCTCCCTTTGCGTAAGGGGGGGAGGGGAGGGGGGGTAGCTTCCCAGGTGCCGAAAGGGGGGGGGCTGCTAAGCCCCCCCCCATTTGGAGCCAAAGGGGGGGGGGGGGAGCTTCGGGCAGAGGGGGGTCAAGAGGTGGGTGGGGGTAGCTAAGCTCCCCCTCTCCCTTTGGAAGGGGGGGATGGAGGGGTAGCTTCGGAGTGGCGAAAGGGGGGGGGCGGGGGCGGGTGTAGCTTCAGGGGGGCGGCGCAAAAGGGCGGGGGGGGGGGGCTTCCAGCAGGGGAGTTGGAAGGGAGGGGGGGTAGCTAAGGGGGGACCCCCCCTTTGCGTCGGCGCTGTGGGCGCGCTCTCTCTCAAGCCTCGTCTTTTTGCTACCCTCTTTCTTGTATGTTCAGAACCGTGATGTCGGGTATCGTTTCAGCTCGCCCTGGCCTCTTCGGGGGTCTTGTGCGCGTCGTGGGCCCGATTTGAGCGTGTCGGACCGATCGTGGAAATCATCGTGGGTGTCGCGGGCCGATCCTTCGAGTACTCGGAGCCCTCTTGGACCGTCTCTGGAGTCTCTTGGGGCCCTTTTGGATTGCTTTGGGGCGCCTGGAATTCGCGCCCAGGAGGAAAACCATTTCTGGCCCAACCTGGCCAGGGCACTTCGCGTCCGGGGGCCCTTCGGGGCCGCCACGCGCTCGCGAAGCAGACATGCCGTTAGGCAGTCGTCGGAGATCTTCGCACTCGCCTGGCCTTTTGGGTCGGCGAGTTCCCCCCGAGAAGCATGTCCAGCGTGCTGTGAGGCTCGCGACGAACGGGTGGGCCAATGTCAACTGCTGTTTCTCTCCTCATCTCCTGTTGCTGCTTCTTTTTCTTTCCTCTTCCCGCTGCTGTAGCTGGCCCTCCTGCTGCTGCTGCCGTTCCCTCCTCTTTCTCTTTTCCTGACCGTCGCTCATGTTACGCAGACGCGCCAGCTTGATATGCCGGCGCGCAGGGCACGGCCGCGATTCTGCGCCCACGATTTCGCCCGCGATTTTGGCCGTGATGTTGCCTGCGATGTTGTCCGCGATTTCGGGTGCGATCTGGCCCGCGATTTTCGGCCGCGATTCCGCGCCCTTTTGTAAGGCCCCACGATATCACCCACGGTTGTGAACACGATTCTTTCTGCCATTGATTTAATTGTGAAAAAATCGTTTCCAAAAAATGTGTGTTCCGCGGAAGGGAGGCCAAACAAATGGGCAACATCGGGGCCAAAAAAGTAGCCCAAATCGGGTCCAAACGGGGGGGGGCGGGGTGGGCGTCGCGGAAAGGCGGCGGGAGGGTCGGGGAGGGGGCCAGGGGCTCCCCCGTCGGTTTGAGAGGACGCCCTCGCTTCGGGCTGCGTTGCCTCGCGCAGCGGGTTCGTGATTGCGCCGCCGCGCCCGCGGCCGCTGAGGCTTCGAAGCTGACGCTCGCCGTCAGGTCCGTCTTTTTCCGCTACCAGCGCAGCCGCGCGCCATGGCCCCCAAGGGAGAGCGGCGGGCCTTCGCCGCGGCTGCGGCAGAGTCTGCGCCAGCGGCCCCCACGCCCGCGGTGGGCCCCACGAGCGCAACCCCCCAGAGCTGCGGAGTTGGTTCGACCTGCGCGGGCATGAGATCCAACGGCCTCCAGCGCCTCGCGAACTCCCCATGCAGCGCTCGCGCTCGAGCGTTTCTTCTTCATGGAGGGTATCCGAAGTGGCCCTTCCTTGTGGTCCGTCGGTCCCGCGCCGGCGCGTTCCATCATGAATCAGCTTGGGGGGCGTTTCTCCCGCGCGAGCTATCGGCCGCGCGGCCGGGGCGGCACTGGGCGTTTCGACGGCTGCGCGCGCACCGATTCCGCCTGCACTTCGACGGCTGCGCGCGCGCGCGCCGATGCCGCCTGCGCTTCGACGGCTGCTCGACGACCGCGGAATGAAGCGTCATCGCGGTGATGAGTTCCATGGCGGTCGCGCGACGGCCTGGCTCGGGGGCCGCGTTGGTCGCGCCTCCGCGGCGCGCCTGCGTGATTCAATGGCAGGGGCAGGCGGCGCGCGGCCATTCGACGACGCGCGGGCATTCCATCATGTTTCCCCGCGGTCCAGCTTGATGCAAGTAGCGTGTAGCCTGCAGCAAGGCAGGGGGGGATATGGCGATCGCCCTGACGAGCGCGGAGGAGTGCGACATAATGCTGCGCGAGCGCGTGTTCACGGACATGGGTGGCGAGGAAGCATTGAGGCATCCAAGCAAGCGCTGGAAGAGAAGGAGAAGGAGCTGGAGGAGCGCGGCGACTACACGACGCGCAAGAACCAGCTGGGACGTGGACAGTGACTGCGCTTGCTTGCGCGGGCCAGCCTTCCCCGAGAAGCTGTCGCGGAGCGGCCCCGGCGCTACCTCGCGGCGCGACCGGTGGAAGTCCTGGTTCAAAGTGGATTGGAAGGCGCTGGTGACTGCCCAGGAGAGCTTCCCCGAGGACAAGCTCATGAAATAATTGGTGGGCAAGATGAGGAAATGCTTCAACGAGGGCCGCGCGAAGCGGCCCGGGATCGGCTGCGCGTCGCGGTTCCGCCCGCGCCGCGATGGCCCATCGACGGTGGCAATGCTCATCGCCAATGGCAAGTGCGAGGCGATTGCAGCTGAGAGGCTGCCGCAGACGATCGGCGACGTCATCGAAGAGGACCGTCGCAAGTTCTTCGACGCAGCCCAGCAGCTGAGCCCAAAGGAACTGCATGAGTTGATCCCACCTGCCTTCCCGATGGCGCACCAAGTAAAGGGCTGCGCACCGATTGCAATGTACCCAGCGGGCGCGTGGCGAGTCGAAGAGGAAGTATTTTTCGACGCGCAGCTGGCGCAGGTTTGCGGTGTGGATCGCGGAGAACGACCTGGGGAAGTTGCGGGGCGCCATGGCGGCATCCGCGAAGGAGCTGCAAAACGCCGAGAAGCTCGAGAAGGATGTCGAGGGGCTCAAGTGTCGGCAGGAGCTGCGCGAGAACGCGGGCGCCACGCCGAATCAGGTGAAGCGGCTAGTTCCTGCGGCCGCGCGTGAGAGCGCCCACTTGCGCCCGCGGCTGCAACGGCCTCCCTTCTCCCTCCTCCATCCTACTTCCTCCCTCCTTATTCCCCTTCCCTCCCTCCTCCCCTCTTCCCCCCTCCTGACCTCCTCACTCCTCCGTCCTCCTCAATTATGCCTTTTATACCCTCCTCCCTTCTCCTCCCTCCCGCCCCCCCCCCCGTCGCCCGCAACTTCTTGCGATGCAATGGATTGCAAACGCATGAAAAGGCAATGCAGCGCAATGCAATGCAACGCAAAAGGGCGCAACCGAATACAATGCAATGCAACGCGATGCAATGCAACGCGTCACCTGGCAGCGCCGTTGGGGCCAGTCAGGAACATCACGCCGCGACGACCGCGATGGCGAGGGCCAGGGGGGCAACAAAACTATTATCCCATCCTCCTCCTCCTCCTCCTCCTTCTCCTTCCCTCCTCCTCCCTCCTCCCTGGATCCGCCCTCTTCCCCCCCCCGTTCCTCCCCCCCTCACTCCCCCCCCCCTCCTTACTGGAATGCAATATACTACTCCTCCTTCCTCCCCCTCCCCCCTCCTTCCTCCTCCTCCTCTTCCTCCTCCACCTTTTCCTCCTCCTCCTCCTCGTCCTCCTCCTCCTCTCCCCCCTTCCTCCTCCTCCGCCTCCTCCTCCTCCTCCTCCTCCTCCTCCTCCTCCTCCACAATTACTCAATGTGAAAATGCTCTCCCTCTTCCCCTGATGGCGTCCGGGTGATTGCCGCGCACCCTCCGCGTACTGTTTTTTTACACACAGGATGCCCAGGAAATCCCGGGAAACGACTCTCGCTGAGGCGCCGGCGTCACTTTTTCCCAAAATGCTGCTCTCGTTGATGCGCCGGCCTCATTTCTGCTCCCGGATCGTTCCGAATCGTGCTCCCGCTGCAGCGTGGGCCTCATTTTCGGATCGGTGTTTGGCCTCCGTCGTTCAGGATGGCGTTCTCGCCCCAGCGCGGGCCTTTTTCTCGCGCGCCCATCCGCCCGCCACCACCGCGCCGCACCGCCACCACCACCACCACCACCACCACCACCACCACCACCACCACCACACCCACCAGCACCAGCACCAGCACCAGTACCAACACCACCAGCACCAGCACCAGCACCACCACCACCAGCACCACCACCACCACCACCACCACCACCACCACCACCACCACCACCACCACCACCACCACCACCACCACGACAACCACGCACACACGCACGCACGCACGCACGTGCACCACCACCCACTACGCACGCGCGCGCGGAGCCACAGGTCCGCTACGACACGCGTCCGCGGATAGAGAAAATCAGCGCCATGGTAAGGGATGGGAGGGAGGGGTAGGACGTCAGATATGACGCGAGCGCACCTAGCTTGTCCTCCTCCCCCTCCCCTCCTCCTCCTCCTCCTCCTCCTCCTCCTCGTCCTCCTCGTCCTCCTCCTCCCTCCTTTCCTCCTCCTCCTCCTCCTCCTCCTCCTCCCTCCTCCTCTCCTCCTCCTCCTCCTCCTCCTCCTCCTCTCCCCCGTCCTCCTCCTCCTCGTCGTTCTCCTCCTCCTCTTCCTCCTCCTCCTCCTCCTCCTCCCTCCCCCCCGGTCTCCGCGACCTCTGGCGCCGCATCTCAGAACCCAGATTTGCGAGGATGTCTCATGCGAGACGCGCCCTACCACCCCGCGCACATTTCCTGAGAGCTCAGAGTTGCGAGGATGTTTCAAGCGAAACGGGCTGGACCACCTCGCGCACATCTTCATTGAACCAGGAGTTGCGAGGACATCTCCGGCGAAACGGGCCGGACCACGTCGCGCGCAGCATTTCGGAGCCCCGAATGCGAGGACATCTGAGGTGAACCTTCTCGCCCTCTCCTTTTACGCCTTCGCAGCCGGGTTCGGCGCGTCCCGCGGTTCACGGGTTCGTGTTTCGGATTCTGTGGGTCGCGCTTTTTCGGTCTGGGGTTCGCGCTCCCGTTTCCCGAGTTGAGCTTGTTTCCCCGGGGCCAGGTTTTTCCCAGGGCCGTGACCCCTGGCGGATCGATCCACGAGGTTTTTCCCAGGGCCGTGACCCCTGGCGGATTCACCCCCTCGTGGTGCCGAAGTCTCACGCATCATATATCGCGGCAACTTCTTGACCAAAGAGAGCGACAACAAGTATTGAGCACCCCAATTGTTCAAACAATTTGTCACGCGCACCAATGTTTATTGATCTGGGTTTGATTCGCCCAGTTTACATTCATCCAGGTTTAATTCGCCCAAGTCAAAGCCATCCGGCCTTACTTCGTCCGTTTAAATGCAAACGGTGTGAAGTCCCAGGTTTCCATTCATCCTGTTTTAGGTTGCTTGGTTTAAGTTCATCCGTTTTTAATTCGCCCGTTTAAGTTCATGTTGTTTTCATTTGGTTGTATCTCGACCGTTCAAATTCATGTGGTTTGATTTCGCCCGGTGAAATCAATGTTTTAATGCATCCGGTTTTATTTAATCCAGCATCCACTTTGAATTCGCCGGGTTCAAGTTCATCTGGTTGTCATGCTCTCCGTTGCCACCCGAACCGCGCAAAGCAAGAGCGGACGAAACCGAAGCGGACGAAACAAAAGCGGACGAAACAAAAGCGGACGAAGTAAAAGTGGATTAAAGAAAAGCGGATGAAACAAAAGACGGACAAAACAGAAATGGACAAACCAAAAGCGGGCGAAACAACAGCGGACGAAACAAAAGCGGACGAAACAGAAGCGGATGAAACAAAAGCGGACGAAATATTATTCCACCCCCATGAGAGCGCCCAGACGGCCCAAGACGAAGGCGGCCTAAGAAGGCTCCAGGAACGCCCCAGGAGGGACTTCAGAGGGGGTGAGCCACCCCACCCCCCTACTCTCCCCACCCCCCGCAAAGCTTTGACCACTGTCCCCTCTCGCCCCCTCGCCCGGCCGCAACGTGACCAAGCTCGCTGGCGATCTTGCACTGTCCTCACACGGACTCAGGCCTGGCGCCGGGAAAAATCAGGATCACCGAATAAAGCAAATCAGCCCGTTTCAGTAAACAACTTGAGCGGACATTTAAAAAGTTGACCCGTCACCCGCTGGAACGGCCGCGGCTCCTGATGCATCCTCCAGATTTGCCGGGCCGCAGAGATCCCCAGGGCAGCTCGGCCCCGCTTCCTCCCAGCCCCGGCTCCGTCTTAGCTTGCGCCGGTTTGGCCAGGCCAGGCCCAGAGTCCCTGCGCCGGAGCCCCCACGCGAGAGTCCAGGACGGATCGGTGGAGAGGTCGGCTGGCGCCCCCCGATCCTCGGGGGCGTGGTGGCGGGGATGCCAGGCGCCTTTGAGGGTCCGCATGGATGTCTTCCAGAGGAGTTGGGCCCCCCCCCCCCGCAGCTCCGGCGCCGCCCCCCTGGCGCGGCCCCGGGAGAAGAGGGGCCCAGCGCCGGTGCAAGAGCTCCGCGCGGACCTCTGAGCGTATGCCAAGAAGCCGCTCTGCTCTTACATGACCACGCGCGGTGGTCCTCCACAGGCGTATCCAGCAATTGGCCCGCGGATGTTCCACATGTGAATCCAGCCATGCGTGTTCCCGCTTCCTGGTGATTCTCCTCCCCACAGACGCCGGCTTCTGGGCGCCGTGCGTGGTGACGGGCCTGGGGCTCGAGCTGTTCGCCAGCGCGGAAGAGCTCGGCTCCCCCGCGCCGGGCCTGCTGCCGCCCAAGGCCAGGGGCAGCAGTATTGGGGAGGTGATTGGCTCGGGGCGACCTACGCGTAAGAGTGACCCCTCGCCGTAGTGACCTTCGGTGCTGGCCCACTGGGGTCCCCCAGCCGTTGAATGCGCTGCGACTGCAGCGGCTTGCGCGGCTGGGTTTGGCCCCCTCTGCGCCCATCTAGCGCCGCGCACCAAAGGTCATTTTTGCCCAGGGCCATTCTTGCGTGTAGCCGATCAGGGTGGGGTGGGCGAAGTTTCAAGATTCGAGGTTTGAGGGTTTCGGATGTTGTCGTCGCTTCTCGGCGGCTCTCCAGTCTCGGCATGCGCTCAGGCGGCTGCCGAGAGCGTCCTGGGGGTACCCGGATCGTCCCGAACGGCCGCCAGAGCGGGTTGGGATGCGCCCAGAGGGGGGCATGGGGGCATGCATCGACCCCCAATCGTCCATCGATCGCCGACAGGGGCCCGATGGCACGCTCCGTCCCGGGGCGTGCGGATTCGCTATCAGGCGCTTATCGCCGATGTATCGGTGATGTATCGCCGATGGCTTCCCCCCCTGAGCTGGTCCCCCCGAGGGCTTCGGCGTGCTGCTGGAGGGCCCAGGGTTCGTGGGCGTGGACAAGCCGTCAGGGCTGCGCACCGAGGACGTGCTGGACAGGCTCGGCGGGCTGGCGTGGGGGGGGCGGCCCTTCTGAGAAGCCTGCAGGGGGGCGTCTTGGAAGGCCAGCGGCCTTCTTGGGAGGCCTTCTCAGAGGCCTCGGGGCCCTCTTAAGCAGGTCCCTGCCTTCTAAGGATCCCCAGACCTCCTCCAGGGCCATACCCACGAAGTCAATTTCTATCTGATCGATCCAGTTCGACGTCGACTCCAGCCGACCCGATCAGTTTCGATTCCGATTTTCCGTCGATCCGATGCGACTCGACGCTTGCCTGGTGCTGTTGTGCATCCTGGCGTGGCCAATCCGCTTCGATTCCGACTCGGTGCCGACATGGTCCGATTCGATTCGCGTTCCGCATCGATCCGATGTCTCGGTTCGATGCTGCCTGATCCTGCCCCCTCGTGTGCGCCGCGAGCAGGCTCCGGCGCACACACGAGGGCGCCGAGCTGGTGTCCAGGCTCGACCGGGAGACCAGCGGCTGCCTCCTTGTGCCCGTGGCGCCGTCGTGCGCCGCCGTGCTCACGGCGCAGTTTGCTGGCCACACGGTGGGCAAGACGTATCTCGGCCACGCGCAAGAGCGGCCCTTCGCCTGAGTGGCCTTTGGTGCGCGGCTTTCTCGGGCCGGACGAAAGGGGGGATGGGGAAAGGTTGGGTTACGAAATCTGCTGCATGCAGCTGGTCTCGGCCCGACCGAGGGGTCCATTCCTCGATACATGGCCGCCTCCGGCGCCGGGAGGCGCCGGGACAATCAGCTGCGTGAGTTGATTCTCACCCCCCCCGTTGTTGTCCCCCCCTTTCGCCCACCCCGACTTTCGGGCGTCTTCGTTGCCTCCTGGAAGTTGTTCTGCCTCGGGATCGGGATGCTCTGCAGCAGCTACGCCTCGCCGATAGCGCTCTGGCGGCCGGCGGAGTCACGAGTTACGACCCGAAAGCCGAGAGACCTTTGGCTCGGCCTTCCGAGGGTTTGGGGCCATCAGGGGCGACGTCCGGGACGAGAGGGTAGGACAGGGAAAGGGGGGGTTACGAAGGCCGCCCCGCCGCCAGGCCCATTCTTCGATACATGGGCGCCTGCGGGCGCCAGGAGGCGACAGGAAAACCCTTTGCCATTTGCTATCCTGCCCCTTCGTCCCCCCCGAGACAGGCTCAGCGGTGGACGCATCGATGCCCAAATCGCCCATTCGTGGCCCAGATGCCCACCCTACCAGGATTAAGTCGGGCACGTCCCTCGACAGAAGGAGTAGCCAAGAATATTGCAAATAGTACGGGGCCGATGTTGTTGACTATTTCTGAACATGCTTGAACATGTTTCGACGGTTGCTCATTTTTCTTCCAATCTCCGCAGGCAGGAGGACTTGCCCGACCTAGCGCCAGGGAGCGAGTGAATCTTCTCTCGGGGGCCTTTCGCCGATGCATCGGCGATGTCTCGCCGATCCCAGCCCGATGTGTTCCCCCCCGGTGCCATTCTCCCCCCGGGTCGCGGGGGAAGAGGGAGGGGGCAACGCGAGGAGGGGACAGGCTCACGAGGAATCGCCGCTGGGGGCCCAATCGCCCCACCCCGCCCGGGAGCCTGCAGATTCGGCCCTCGGGCCCTGTCGACGATCTACCGGCGATGCGTCGGTGCTTCCCCCTTCGGGGGCCTTGAGACGGGGGTCAATGCAAACGGGGGTCAGCCAGAGCGCCCGATCTTGCAGGATCCTGCGGGGCCAGGGTTGCAATGACCCGGGTTTGGGCGCAGGATCCTGCAGGATCCTGCTGGATCCTTCGCATGGACCCGGGTCTGAGCGCACGATCTTGCAGGCCTGACTGACCGGAAGAAGTAAGTAGACACATGAAACAGAAAGCCTTTGAAAATATATAGATTGGGTGTCCGCCGGCCCTTGAAGAGGGTGGAAAAAAGGTGAAGCCACTCGAGCAGTAAAGTAGGAAGACGCTTAAAGTATATTGGAATCTGGGACCCCCCAGAACCGGCCCCGAATTTCTGATCCCTTCCCCGGAGGCAGTTTTTGCTCCTCCGGGATCAGTGTTTGTCGGTCTCTGCCGGAGGTGGGGGGGTGCAGCGACGATAGGGTGCCAACGACGGCGGCGGCGGCGGCGGCCACAACGACGACGGTGCCGACAGATACAGACGACGAGGACGAGGACGAGGACGAGGGCGAGGACTAGGAGGGGGAGGAGGACGACGTCCACGACGACGACGACGAGGACGATGTCGAGGGGAAGGAGGATGACGACGGCGACGACGACGACGACGAGGACGAGGACGAGGACGAGGACAAGAGCGAGGAGAAGGAGGACGAGGACGAGGAGAAGGAGGAGGAGGACGACGGCGACGAAGGCGAGGACCAGGACAGGAACGAGGACGAGGAGGTGGAGGACGAGGAGGAGGAGGAGGAGGAGGAGGAGGAGAAGGATGCCGACGACGACGACGACAATGACGACGATGAGGACGAGGCGAGGAGGAGGAGGCGGAGGAGGAGGAGGACGACGACAACGACGACGACGGCGACGACGACGAGGAAGAGGACGGGGGCGAGGAGGAGGAGGAGGAGGAGGACGACGACGATAACGAGGATGAGGACGAGGACGAGGAGGAGGGAGGATGACGACCAAACCCTGAAACCCGCTCCACACTCATGCTGACATGGCCTGAGGTATCGCCTGCCTCGCCCCCCCCCTCGCCCATGGCCCCGCGTGACATGCAGCCGATACTGGGGCGGGGTCAGGCACCCTCCGTCTAGCCCCGCCCCCCCTCCGCTCCCGCCCTTCACCGCGTGGGAAGTTCTTCCGCGCGGCCCCCACGCGGTTCCCACGCAGCCCCCATGCGGATCCCACGTGGTTGCGCACGGCGCCCACGCGGCCCCCGCGCGTCTCCCGCACCGTTCCCCCGCGGTTGCACGCGTCCCCCACGCGGCTCACCACGGCCACCACGCGGCTCTCGCGCGGCCCCCCACGGCTCCCGCGCGGCTCCCGCACTGCCCACCACGGCTCCCACACGGCTCCCGTACGGCTCCCGCACGACCACCGCATGGTTCCCACGCGGTTTCCACACGCCCCCCCACGGCTCCCGCACGGCTCCCACACGCACCCCCGCACGGCTCCCACACGGGTCCCCGGCGGCTCTCATGGTTGCACACGATCCCCAACGGTTCGCAACGGCTGCCACGCGGCCCTCACGCGGTTCTCACACGGTTCCCACACGAATGGGACCTCGTGCGGTTCACATGTTTTGGTTTTGGGTTCTTAAGCGTAGTTGTGTAGAAGATTATATAAAACAAAACCCGCGGCATGTAGAGGATCAGTACAGCGTGAACAGGATCTTAGACATAGCCTCCACGCGTTGTAAAAGATTCTATACAGAGCCCACACGGCCGGATTAGGATCCCATATATAGAGCCTACACGGCCTCGAGATGCCTCCTGACAGAGCCTACGATCCCACGCAGACCCAGCACGGCCTGCACAGGATCCAAAACAGAGCATACACGGCCTGCACAGGATCATATGCAGAGCCTCCACTGTTTGTAGAAGGTCCTATCCAGATTTTGCGCGGCTTTGATTTGATGTTTTTCAGAGCCTACGCAGACGGCCTGTGCCGGATCCCATACACATCCGATACGGTTTGAAGGGATTCTGTTCAGAGCCTACGTTGCCTGTAGAGGATCCTATGCAGAGCTTACACGGCCTGCTCAGGATCCTATACAGAGCGTGCACGGCTTCGGGATGATCCAGGACAGAGCCTGCAAGGCCCAGAGAGGATGCAAAACAAATCCGACACGGCCTGTACAAGATCCCAGACAGAACCTACACGGCCTGTGTAGGGTCATCTGCATAGCCTCCATTGTTTCAAGAGGGTCCTATACAGAGCTTGCGCGGCGTTGACTTGATTTGTTTCGGAGCCTTCATGGCCTGCATTTGATCCTATACAGTGTTGTGAAGGCCTGTATCGGATCCTATATAGATCCGATACGGCCTGCTGAGGATAATTTTTAGAGCCGGCATTGCTTTTTGGAGGATCCTATACACAGCGTACACCGCCTGTTGAGGATAGTGTACAAAGCTACGCGGCCTCGTGATGATCCACCATAGGGCCTGCCAGGCCCGGAGAGGATACAACATAAGTCCGACACGGCCTGTACAGGATCCAAGACGGAGCCTACACGGCCTGTGTAGGATCAACTGCAGAGACTCCAGTGATGGCAGAGGGATCATATACCGAAATTGCGCGGTTTTGACATCAAATCATAGTCAGAGCCTGGATGGCTTGTATCGGATCGTATACAGATCCGATGCGGCTCGCAGAGGATCCATATCGGAGCCTACATTGCCTGTGGAGCATACGTGTTCAGGGTCCTATACAGAGCCTAGATGTCCTCGAGATGATCCAGGAAAGCGTCTACAAGACCCAGAGAGGACGTAATACATATCCGGCACGGCCCGTACAATATCCAAGACAGAGCCTACACGGCCTGCGAAGGAAGAGACAGATGCAGAACCTCCACTGATTGTAGAGGATGTTATGCAGAGCATGCGCGGCTTCGTTCTTTTTTCAGAGCCTGCGACGCCTGAATCGGATCCTATACAGAGCCTAAGCGGCCCGTATCGGATCCCATACAGATCCGATACGGCCTGCAGCGGATCCACTTCAGAGCTTACATTGCCTGTAGAGGATCCTATACAGAGCCCGCACGGCGTGCATCGGATCCTATACAGAGCCCGCACGGCCTCCAGAAGGTCCAAGACAGAGCCTGCAAGGCCCTGACAGGATGCAGCACGTATCTGACACGGCCTGTACAGGACGCGCGACAATTCTTACACGGCTTGTGTAGGATCATTTGCAGAGTCCTGCTGCTCGTAGAGGGTGTTGTACAGAGTTTGCGCGGTTGTGCTTTGATCTGTGTCGGAGCCTTCACGGCCTGTATTTGATCCCATACAGTTATTTTGAAGGCTTGTATCAGATCCTGTATAGATCCGGTACGGCCTACAGACGATTTTTAATGAACGTGCATTGCCCGTAGAGGATCTTTTGCAGAGCCTACACCGTTTGTTTAGGATCCTGTACAGAGCCTGCACGGCCTCGATGATCCAGGACAGCGCTTGCAAGGCTTGGACAAGACACAACACATACCATACCCGACACAGCCTGCACAGGATGCACGACAGTTCCTGCACGGCTTGTGTAGGATCGTCTGCAGAGCGTCCACTGCTTGTAGAGGATCCTCTACAGAATTTGCGCGGATTTTACATGATCTTTTTCAAAGCCGACGCGGCCTGAATCGGATCCTATAAACATCCGATACGGCCTGCAGAGGATCCTTTCCAGAGCCTGCGTTGCCTGTAGAGGATCCTATACAGAGCATACGCGTCGTCCATTCCAGCGCGGTGGGAGGGCTGCTGACCCGTATTCGTCCGGCCCAGTATCGAACATCAGAGGCGGAGGACGAGGCGGGAAACGACGCGGAGGAGGAGGAGGAGTTGGAGGAGGAAGAGGAGGAGCAGGAGGAGGAGGAGGAGGTGAAGAAGGAGGAGGAGGAGGAGGAAGCGGCGGAGGAGCAAGAGGAAACGGAGGAGGAGGAGGAGGAGGAGGCATAGGAGGAGGAGGAGGAGGAGAAGGAGGAGGAGGATGAGGAGTGGGAGGAGGCGGGCGATGGGGAAGAGGAGATGGAAGAGGGAGGAGGGAAGATGATACGGACGAGGGGGAGGATGAGGAGGTGAAGGAGGAACAACGCCAGAGGCCGACATCGAGGAGAAACGCCCAGATCCAAACCATGATACCGTAGAAAACCTGGAGCGGTCAGCAAGCCGCGCACACGAGGTCACTCCTGCCCGGGGTCGCCCCCCGCGCGTGGCCGGCCATCTGGCGCTCGTGTCGGGTGCCCCGCCCGAGTCTGGGACCGTGACGGCCCCGCTGGGGCTCGTGGAGGCGGGCGTAAAGGAGAAACCGGCAACATTCAGAGGAGGAAAAGGTACCCATACCGCTACCCTTCGCCCGTTTTCCCCTTTGGGAGGCTTCGTCGTCACCGTTAGATTCGCCTCGAAATTCTCTTCCGAACGCGGGAGCAAAGCCCCCTAGTCGCTACGGGTGGGCGTGGCTCGAAGAGCTAAGCGATTTCGACCGCAGGAGGGGCCCAGGGCTTGATTTTGAGCAGATTTGCCCTCGCCCTCCCACCTTTGACCGGTTTTTCCGGGGCCCATCCAGCGCAGACCCGTGGCCGCTACCATAAACTTCCGATGTTCCATGCTGGTTTCTTGGGTCGGCGCTGGGTTCCCCTCTCGGCGCCTCTGGGGCCGCCCCCTCCTTCGGCGCCGCCCCCTGGCGCGCTCTGCGCGCCAGGGGCGGTGGTCAGCGCCGATCCAAGAAATCCCCGCGGACCTCCGAAAGGTCATGTTTATGTTTTATGTTTTTTGCCGTTCTCCCTCCCAGGCGGGCGGGGGGTCGCGGTATCGTGCCTACGTGGACGAGGGCGGGAAGGCGTCCGAGACGCGCTACCGCACGCTGTGGTCTGGTGGCGGGCTGGCGCTGGTGCAGGCGTCGCCGGTGACTGGCAGGCCCCCGGGGAGGACAAACGGCACCCCGTCCGCCACGAACTGCCGTGCGAGTCACAGCTCAGGTTTTCGGAGCTCCCAGTCTCGGCGTGCGCTCCAGCGGCTGCGCCTCGCTGGGAGCGCTCTGCGGCTGCCCAGATCGTCCCCGAGCGGCCGCCCGAAGACCACCAGAGGTAACGCTAGGGTCGGGGGAGCGTAAGACCTGGGTTTGCCAGGACTCGGGTTCGCCATCGTTTTTTTGACGACCGCGCCTCGGATTTTGACGAGGAGGAGTTTCGTGGGATGTCTGCAGCGGGAGGCCTCGTCAAAATGCAGGCTGGACCTCGTCATTTTTTTTGACGACCTCGTCGGGGATTTCCGAGTCCCCTGTACCCAGGTCTTACGTCCCCCTGATAGGGTAATGGCATGGGTCAGGGGGGATGCCTCGACCCCACATCGCCCACGCATCGCCCAGCACCCGTGCGGCCTTTCTATCGGGGGCCCGTCGCCGAGCCATCGGCGATGCATCGCTGATTACGGGTCGATGTTTCCCTTCCGGAGCCAGCCCCCTATCTCACCACCCACCAAACCACCCCAACCCAACCCGAAGGCTCAGATTTACCCTCGATTTCCAGAGGGGGGGGAGTCGGGAAACGTAGAAAAAACACATGTGGAACCCTTACCCCCCCCAACCCGAAATTGGGGTCTTCGGGTTGGGTTGGGGTGGTTTGGTGGGTAGTCACTATCGTTGCCCCTCCTCGCTAGCGTTCAATTAACTCCCTTGCGCGCTCGATGAGCAGTCCTGCCATGTCCGATTCCGTTCTCGAGGTTGCTTTTTGTCAAAGAGATGTTTGCTTGTAGGGGTGCTTCGTACCCAGATCCCCGACGTCGTTTTTTGTTTGAACGTCGACCCCCGACGGTCTCGACCCTTTCCCCAGCACCAGTGTTCCATCCTGAGTCGTTTTTCTGAGTCGGTGAGGGCCCCCAGAGACCAGAAACCGAGAAACGCGTCCCGTCATGATTTTGCTCATGGCTCGAGGGGGTCTGGGGAGGGTTGGGTCCTCTGCCCTCGAAGGACGCACCAGATCCGGTGCCACATGGCGCACGCCGGCTTCCCGCTGGTGGGCGACAAGAAGTACAGCGGCGTGCCAGCTCCAGCGTGGTGTGCCCGGTTGCCCCTGCATTGCCTGCGGCTGCAGGCGAGGGACGAGGGCGGCGGCGCGATCGAGCTCGAGGCCGGAGCACACACTGCCAAGTCGTTGTGAGGCCTCCTCGGAGCTTCTTGGGGTTCTCTTGGAGGCCTCTCGGGGGTCCTCTTGCGGCCTCTTCGGGATCTCTTTGGGGCCTCTTGGGGCCTCCTGGGGGGGCGCCTGGGGCCGTCTTGGGGCCCTCTTGCGCCGTCTCCTCGTCGAACTTCGAGCTTCGAGGTTGTTTCCAATCGTACAGGTCATTCTTTCTCGGCCTCAGCGGGGCTCCGCGTCCAGGGCTCGTGCATTCGAGGGTCGAACTTCGAGTGCCGAAGCTGTTGTTGCAATGTTGGGTTGGTTCCTTTGGGCCTCCGCGAGGCTCCGTGTCGTCGCGGCTGGGTCTGCTTCGGAATTCTGACCAGAGCGCACCCCGGTACGAGTCCAGAGTCAAGAGGAGGGATGAGCGACACCACCACCACCAGCACCACCACCACCACAACAACCACCACCACCATCAGGGAGGCCACCTCGAGCGAGGAGTTCCACGATGCCTCCCCGATAGCTGGGGACAGGGGACGTCTCGAGCGAGTGGGGGGGCTCCACACCACCATGGGGACCCCCCCTGGCTCCTCCCGATCGTTTCCTTCAAACGTAAGCCTCGAATGCGCCAGAACTCGGGTTAGCCGACGCTTTTCGACGAGCGCGTCTTGGATTTTGACGGTTCATGTTTCGTGGGATGTTTGCAGCGGGAGTTCGCGTCAAATTTCAGTTTGGGCCTCGTCATTCTCACGATGACCACACCAGGTCAACCCGAGTCTTACGTCTCCCCGATCGTGGTCACTGGTTGGGGCGGTGCCGCCTCCTCCTCCTCCTTCTCCTCCTCCCCCTCCTCCCCCTCCTCCCTCTCCTCCTGCTCCTCCTCCTCCTCCTCCTCCTCCTCCCACTCCTCATCCTCATCCTCATCATCATCATCATCATCATCATCATCATCATCATCATCATCATCATCATCATTATCATCATTATCATTACCATTATCATTATCATCATCATCATCATCATCATCACCATCACCACCATCATCATCATCATCATCGTCATCGTCATCAACATCATCATCATCATCATCATCATCATCATCATCTCATCATCACCACCATCATCATCATCATCATCAACATCTTTATCATCCCCCTCCTCCTCCTCCCCCTCCCCCTCCTCCTCTACCTCCTCCTCCCCCTCCTCCTCCTCCTCCTCCTCTGCCTCCTCCTCGTCCGCCTCCTCCCCCTCCCCTTGTCGAGGCCCCCCTGCCGGCGGACTTCGCCGGGATGTTGCCCCCGGGGGCGCTGGAGGCTCTGGAGGCGGGCGTCGGCGCGGCCCTGGCAGGGACGCGGAGCGCCGCGGTGCAACAAAAAAGAGAAGCAGGTGCCGCCACGGAGGGGGGTGCGGGGCCGCAGGGGGGGCGCGCCGCAAGAAACCATCCACTTCCCGTCAGGGTACCCTTGGCGTCTTCGCTCCGCGCGCTGCGCGGTGACTTCCCGACGCGGCCGATCTTTCCTGAGGCTCCGCAAACGTAGCCTCGCGCGATGCGCGCGAGGCTTTGTTTGTGGAGGACGATCAATGGAGAGGAAGCATGCTGCCAAATGACTTCCAGATGTCTAAAACATGTGTTAAACATGTGAAGCACATGTTTAAAACAGGTTCAGAACATATTCCGACGTGTTAAACACAGTTTCAGTGCAAGGATAGGACTGTTAGGGTGTCCATTGTCGTGGCATCCACAAGGCTACGTAGGGCCATGGGAACGTGCCGATGCACCTTGGCGAACGGACGCGCCGCGCGTCGCTCCAGAGGTGGACCACAGCTGCGCCACTGTCAACCTTGTATGGAAAGGGTGAGCGACTTCCCAGGGTTGCCCTTTACAGCCTTCCCCTTCGGCCCATCTCTGGCCGCTTTCCCTCCCTTCACTCCCTCTCTCCCTCCCTCACTCCCTCTCCCTCCCTCCCCCATCCCTCTCTTCCTCCCTTCTCCCGTCCATCCCTCTCCTCCCTCTCCCCCTCGAATCTCGATCATCCTTCTTGCCTCCGTCGGATTTCGATCCTCCCTCCTCCCTCCTCCCTCTCCCGCGGGGTCGGGCGCCACACGAGCCTCCGCCCTTCTCTGCGTGCCGCGGTGTCTCTCCTGTTGCTGCTGGTCCTCCTTCTCTCTCCACTCTCCTCCCCACTCCTCCTTGCTCCTCCTCGTCCTCGTCTTCCTCCTCATGATCCATCACGTGGTCTTCGTTTTGCCTAGAAGATTGTCCACAGAGATCGTTCCCTCTCCTGCTATTCCCCCCCTTGATCCCTCCTCCTCCCGGCTGCTCCTTCAGCCCTCCCTCCTGCTTCGCCCTTCCTGCTTCCTCCTCCATACTTCGCCTTGGCCTCCTCGCTTCTCCTCCTCCTTCCTCCTCCCTCATCCATACTGTTCCTCTTGCCTCTGCCCTCCCTTCTCCGTCCTCCTCACTCGCCGCCTTTTCTTCCCTCTTGGCCTCATCCTCCTTTCTCATCCTTCCTCCCTCCTCTGTGGGGCAGCGATCAACTGCATTTTCTGAGCTCAAGGTCAGACCATTTGCTGATCCGCCGCCCTCGCCGCTTCCTCCTCCTCCTCCCCTCCCCAGGGCGCCCTCCCCTCCTCACCCCACCCAATTGTCAGCCTCTGAGGTACAGCAGGCACTCGCGAAGAGCAAGGCGAGGGCGGTTCTAGGCATAGATCAGTTCTCGCCTACCGAAATCGGCCTGCCAGATCAGAGGATCCAGGAACAGTGCGACCTTTTTTATGACATGGTGGAGCAATGCCTCAGTTGGCCATGGCAGGTTACGTGTGCAGTTGGCAAACTTCCAGGGAAGAAATCAGGAGGCGACTGAGTCATTGGCCTGATCGCCATCTTGTGTCGAGTATGGACCAAGACTCGTAACATTCAGACCAAGGACTGGTCAATTGAAGAAGACGATCCGTGGATGCTACCGCTTCGGGCGATAGTGTTTTGCGCGAGGCTTTTTGTTAACCCCTTCGAGGACGAATATCGATCTCGTCTTCAGATTCCTCACGGACACGCGTTGACCGATACGTTCACGACAAGATCGAATTGGTCCCATGAGTTGCATGCACGTTGGTCAAAGCCTTCTCTCTCGTCGCTCTGTTCTCAGAGCTGCAAATCTGCATCTCGCAGCTCGACAGCTACAGCGAGCCGTTCGATGCGTCTCGCTTCATCATCAAAGGCTTGAGGAACGACACGAGCTCCGCGAAGGGTCTCACGGACTCTGTGTGCACGAAGTCATGCGAAGCACATCTTCTTCGGAATCGGGTATGGCTACATAGACGGTGTGTCTCAACGCGCGGCTGGCTCTAGATATCATGCACGTTCAGATGTTGATTCGTGGAGCGTTGGCTACGGTACGAGAGTTCAGGCGGTCTCATCTGAGCATCGCCGACAGGAGCATTCTCACTTGTTCTCAGCATGGTGGTGCGGTCTCGCAGCTGTGAGGGCCTCGCGGCGTAGAGGTGTGACCCTGCCCTGCAGTCGGCATAGTTGGGGGTAGATTCGAGCGGAGGGCGCAGGCACGGTCGCGTATCCGTCCGCCAACGTGCCGTCAGGTCGAGCAGGCGCCACCAGCGGCTCGGGCGTTGCGCGCAGGCGGCTCGTCGCTGGTACTCGACCATGAAGCTTCGACGTGACGGCCCCCAATAATCGGCCGTATATGGCCATCGGATATATGGGCTAGTTTGGGACGGCCATGTTGGAGCATCGCCGCCTCCTGGGAGCCGCTGCTGGTGCAGCTAAACGCGGCAGGTGTTTCACGTCTTTGCTTCCGCTGCGCCTCCCAGGCGCAGACCAAGTGCATTTGCACCGACACTGCGTGCATCAGTAGCTGGATGTGCGGCTTCGGGAGGAGTGTCTTCGTCCAGTCATCTACCGCGCGTGGCCTCTTACTGTCGAGCAACTTCGTTTTATTCCAGAAGTGCAGCGCGCCCTACACATGCGTGGGCCCATGTCTTCAGTTCGCTTTTATCTTCGCAGTGCTGGATGGGACCCGAAAGACCAGACGTAGTGGGTGGTGCCGCCGGATGACAGATCACCAGGCAAACTAATGTGGTTATTCCAGAGTATTGAGTTTGTTGGTTTGGACTAGGCGGCTCCCCTACTGATGGAATTGGAGTTCATTGGTCAGCAGCAGTGCTAGCGTCAGGCTTCTGAATTATTTTGCTGTTCAGGACTGGAAGGCGGCGCTGACATAATATCTCTTCGGAGGATCGTCAGCGATCGCCGCACCTTGGTCAAGATAGGCCGACAGTGATCTGAGATGCTGGTTTCGACTGCAGTGGGAGGGTATTGAACGAAAGAGCGCAGTTTCGACGCAGGCCTTCCGACCAGTGATATACGAATTCCGTGCCGCGAAGCCCCAAACACAGCTGTGCACAAGTGTTGGGCGTGCGCTGAAAGCAAAGGTTCGAGAGCTTAAACAGAATCGCAAGAGCTAATTCCGCGGGCGATAGCCGAGTCTGGGCCCGCCGCATGCTTTTGGATGAGGGGGTCATCCCCGCGCCCTGGACGGAGGTCCCGCCGCCACCCTGAGGAGTGGTGGGGCGGAGGCTCGCTTGTTGGTTGAGGAGTCGTGGGACGGAGGCTCGCTTGTTGATGGCTCTGTGGGCCCTGTTTGCCTCGCATGTGGGTCCTCGGAAGACCCGATCATTGTCTTCGGGGACGCGTTTGGCGGTCCTGTCACAATGGGCCCTAGGTTTCATAGGGTAGGCTTGGCCGTCGCTGTGTGCACTGGCTCATCTCCTTTAGTTTTTGGGCCCCACATGTTTGGGCCTCTCGTGGAACCCCAACAGGCGGTGCCCGCGGATAGATCCAGGCTCTTCTCTGGGCCCTGATATCTTCTGCTGATGCGCGTTGATATATTTTGCTGACTGCGCGGAGGTCGCGAGAGGCTGGTACGCCGAACTCTGCAGGCGACCCGCTGGCGCGAGTGCCCACATCCGGCGCAGCATCTGTGACTGTTTGGCGCGGCGGCGTAGGTCTCCCACGGCGGTCAACATAATGCAGGTGCCGTCGCACTTGGACGGTCGCGAGGACCTCCGCCTCCCTGCTTGGATGATACATGGCAGCTCGCGCGCTGATGCTTTCGCTGATTCAGCTGCGCTGCGTGCTCGGGTGTCCCAGGAGCATCGGGCTCGTGTGCACGCGTTCGAAGCTTCGTCCAGGTTTGTGCGCAGGCGGCTCCTCTGCGTGGCTCTCGATCTGATCGGAGCTGCGCAGAGCCAGGAGTCTGAGCAGGTGCCGCGGGGGCCCAGGCTCCCGCCCCTTCCGCCGCCATTAACTGTTGCACGCTTCGCGTCTGCCCACGCCTTGACTGACCGACAACGGCAGGATTTGCTGTGTGTGTGTGTGTGCGTTCGTGTGTGTGTGTGAATGTATGCAGAGGCTCCGATACTAAATATGCTGTGCAGGGGTGGTTGAAAAGTCTTTGTTTCCAGCTCGAGTCGGTGACCGGTGTGCTGAGCAGAGTACACAGAGGATATCATTTACATGTCGCTGGTGGTTGGACGCATCCTTTCACAGCCTTCGGTTCCATAGTGATTTCAGAATGTGGTGTCGTGCGTCACATGGCTACTTTGGCCAGCACCAACTCAGGGGTCCGGGTGTGTCGTGCACGAATCAGCTCTCTAGACTATCTAGATAGGGTCGGTTGCTGCATCTTTCCCAAGGCGTGAGTCTTGAAGCCTTCTTGGCACGACGTGTCGGCGGAATCCCTGGAATTCTCCTCCCCCTCTCCTTTCCTGCTCTCCCTTTTCCTCAGACCCCTCTCCCCGCCGCGTCCTCATCCATCCGTCCTCTCCTCTATCCCCACCTTCTGCGGGCAAGACTATCGTCCATATCCACTGCAGCTTGAAGGTTCGGGCTCCCTTCCCCGGAAAGCCGATGCGCACTGGATTGCTATGAACATTTGGCCTCTAGAGGCTCGATTTTTGTCCAGATCCAATGCGCCTCGTCCTTGCGGCGCCCCTGCTAAGAAAGTCCAAGACGCGCTGGATCGGAGGTGAGGGGGTGAGATCGAAGTGGAACGGAGAGCCCCCCTACCGGGAGATCGGCTCCGGTTTCGTGTTCGTGCGTGCCGTGCGTGCGGGCGAGGCGAAGCTGCGTGGGCGGGCGAGAAGAAAGTCTCCTCCGGCTGAGGCGGGGCCGGACCAAATGATTTCTTTCTGGGGGCCGGTGGCCCGCGGTGTCTCGCCGGTGTCCCGCCTCCGTCTGAGGCGCGGCCGGACCAAATGATTCCTTTCCGGGAGCCGGTGGCCTGCGGTGTCCCGCCGGTGTCCCGCCGGGTCCCGTCGGGTCCCGTCGGTGTCCCGATGATGATGATGATGATGATGATGATGATGATGATGATGATGATGATGATGATGATGATGATGATGATGATGATAATGCCGATGATGATGTCGATCATGATGATGATGATGTCGATGAGGATGATGATGATGATGATGATGGTGATGGTGGTGATGATGATGGTGTCCCGATGATAATGGTGATGATGATGGTGATGATGATGTTGACGATGGTGATGATGATGATGATGATGGTGATGATGGTAATGGTGGTGATGATGATGGTGTCCCGATGATGATGTTGACGATGATGTTGTTGATGATGATCCTGACGATGATGGTGTCCCGATGATGATGATGATGACGATGATGATGATGATGATGATGATGTTGATGAGGATAATGGTGCGGCGATGCTGATAAGAGTGATGATGGCCGCCCCATGATGGTGATTGTGATGATGATGCTGATGTTGATGATGATGGTGCCCCGATGATAATGATGGTGATGATGATGGTGAGGTTGATGATTGTGTCCCGATGATGATGATGATGATGATGATGATGATGATGATGATGTTGATGTTGATGATGATAATGATGTTGCTGATGATGATCGTACCCTGATGATGATGATTATTATGTTGATGCTGTTGTTCATGATGATAAGGTTATAATGATGATGGTGGTGTTCCGATGACGATGATGGTGTCCCGATGGTGATGATGCTGTTGATAATGATGATGGTGACGATGATGGTGCCCCGATGATAATAATGATGATGATGATGATGATGGTGACGATGTTGATGATGATGTTGATGATGATGGTGATGAGATGGTGATGATGATGGTGTCCCGATGATGATACTGTTGTTGATGATGATGATGATGATGATGATGATGATGATGATGATGATGTTGGTGACGTTGATGACGATACTGTTGTGGTTGATGATAATGAGTATGTTGATTGTGAGATCGATTGTGATATCGATAGTGAGATCGATAGTGATATCGATAGCCAGATCGATTGTGAGAACGATCGAATGAAATAGATCGAGTGAGATGGATCGAGTGAGGTCGATCGAGCGAGACCGATAGCGAGATCGATAGTGAGACCGATCGAGTGAGAGACGTTGGTTCCTCCCCCCCGAACCTCCTAATCACCCGAAGGGTGGTCGTACAGGTATGTATATAGATCTTGCCCGCACCTTCCGCCTCGACCGTCCTGGCCGCAGGCTCCCGTGCCCCCTCTGCCTGGGCCTGCCCGTGCGCGTCGTGGTGTCCCTCGTGTTTCTCGCCAACGCGCTGTGGATGCCGCTCTTCGCCGCCGAGCTGTTCGGGTGGTCGTGCCTGCTCTCGGCAGTGTTTCTGTGGGTCGCCCGGGGGGGGGGGGGAATAGTGCGAAGGGAGGAGGAGGAGGAGGAGGAGGAGGAGAGAGGAGGGGGAGGAGGAGGAGGAGGAGGGAGAGGAGGGGGAGGAGGGGAGGAGGGGAGGGGAGGAGGAGGGGGAGGGGGGAGGAGGAGCAGGGGGAGGAGGAGGAGGAGGAGGAGGAGGAGGAGGAGGAGGAGGAGGAGGAGGAGGAGGAGGACCTTTACCTTTACCAGCTGTTCGTGGCGACCTGCTGCAAGGGGGGGCACGATCTCAGATGTAGGAGCACTCACGACTCAGGGACTGACACCCTACACCTCCATGGACGGATAGAAATGGCGTAGAAGATGATGAAGACGCCCAGCAATAATTAGTAGTGACCCGCAGTGAAGTAGTACAGTGTGCCACCTCCAGCAATACTCACAAAGTATGTGGCGAGCTGCACGCTTCTTTCAACCACCAGCAAGAGAAGAACAATATATAACCCACCACGTGAAGTACACTGCCGAACACTGCACCAAAACGTCCTGAGGGCACACCAGGCCCGAGGGCGAGGGGAATGCTAGCCAAGCGGCTCATCCCTCGAAACCTATATCAAAATACCTGAGCCCCATCCCACCAGACATCGACTGCTCACTGACAACCAGTGGAAAGCGCCCAGGCCCGCAATGCGTGCACGCTGCCTCAAACACCGAAGCGGACGCCATGCCCACAACGATCGCCAGCACGCCCAGCAGCCCGCCCACCAAGGAGTCTTGAGCGTACATGAAGAAGATCACCGCCTGCACCAGCACGACAACGAAGAAGAGCCAGGGTGCGAATGACGCGCAGAAAGCCTAAGCCGAATGCCACGTCCACATCGCGACAAACACACATGACTCTACCAGTCGCCGAAAAGGCACACGGGCGCACCAGGCCCAGGGCAGAGAAATGCTAACCACCACGCCTCATCCCTCGAGCCCTGCATAAAATAACATTGAGCCAACTCCCACCTGAAAATCAACTGAACAACGACCAATCCAGTAGAAATGAGCCCAGGTCCGCATTGCAAGAACAAAAAAGAGCCTCGAACAAGCAGGCCGCGAGGATCACACCGAGCACCTGCACGCCCAGCAGCCCGCTCACCAGGAAGCCAGCTCCATGAACACGAGGACAACCGCCGGGAAAACGAGAAGCTGCAGCATGCACTCGAGGGTGGAGGCGAACGAATTCGACCCGGGCGTTGCCAGGGGCACCCGAGCCTCAAATCGGCAGGGAGCGGCGAACCGCCCCACATGAAGCCCCGGGACGACGGCCAAGCGGCGCTGCGGGGGCCCACTCGAGGCGACGTGGCTTGACGGAGGAGGAGGCGGAGGAGGAGGAGGAGGAGGAGGAGGAGGCGGAGGAGAAGGCGGAGGCGGAGGAGGAGGAGGAGGACGAGGACCAGTGGAAACCCAAGAGTCATCAACGATGTTGGAATTAAGCCTTCCTCCAAGCTCCCTCTTCATAGGCCCCTGCAACGGCTCATTTCCATCGAGGGGACTGCCTCGTTGGAAGACAACAGTGTGAAGATCCTGACGCGTACCCAGACATTGTTGCCGGTATTCCAGCGCCACTTCTCAACCTGACTGATGCGTCTTGACGATCCAGAATCGCGCCAGAACGCCGTTTTTGGGAGTTCGACATGGCGAATCAACATATCTGTTGCGCCCGCATAATCCTGAACCCGTCCACAACACCATTTCTGTTGTGTTGATCATGGGAATCCGTGAAGCTCTTGCATTTTTAACCAACAAGAAAACGAATGTGCGCGGCTCTGAGGCGAGAGCCGCATTTTGAAATTGAGCCGCCCTCAGTCCGGGAAACCCTTGCACATGTTTTAAACGAATGTGCGCGGCGCTACGGCGAGAGCCACATGTTGAAAACCACTCGCCCTCAATCCGTAAAACTCTTGCAAATGTTTTAAACGAATGTGCGCGGCGCTAAGGCGAGAGCCACAGGTTGAAAACCACCCGTCTTCAATCCGTGAAACTCAGACGAATGTGCGCGGCTTTGAAGCGAGAGCCACATGTTGAAAACCACCCGCCTTCAATCCGTGAAAACCTTGCAACATTTCAAGACGAGTGCGCGCGGCGCTAAGGCGAGAACCACATGTTGAAAACCACCCGCCCTCAACCCGTGAAGCTTGTGCAATTGTTTACAATGAATGTGCGCGGCGCTAAGGCGGGAGCCACACTTTGAAAGCGACCCGCCCTCCATCTGTGAAATTGTTGACACTTTAACTTCAGAGTCTTAAATGGTGTGGAAGTCTCGGGCGAAACGCCCGGCCCGCCCTACAAATTGGCCTCGGGGTGCGAGAGCGAGGAATTACCTATAAGGAGAAGTATTGGAGGAGGAGGAGGATGAAGAAGAACCATACGACTTAGAAGAGGAGGTGGAGGGGGAGGGGGATGGGGGAGGAGGATGCGGAGGAGGAGGAGGAAAGGGAAGAAGAAGACGAAGAAGAAAAAGAAGAAGAGGGGGAGGGGGAGGAAGAGGAGGAGGAGGAGGGAGGGGAGGAGGGGGAGGAGAAGGGAGAGAAGGAGGAGGATGAGGAGGAGGAGGAGGAGGTGGAGGAGGAGGAGGAGGAAAAGGAGGAGGAAGAGGATGATGAGGAGGAGGCGGAGGAGGGTGAGGAGCGGGAGGATGAAGAGGAGGAAAAGAAGGAGGAGGAGGAGGAGGAGGAAGGGGAGGAGGAGTTGAGTGGGGGTGATACGCGGGAGCCGGAGGAGAGGGGTGGAGAAGGGTGAGGAGGAGGAGGAATAGAAGGTGGAGGAGGAGGAGGCGGAGGAGGAGGAGGAGGAGGAGGAAGGGGAGGAGGAGTTGAGTCGGGGTGGTACGCGGGAGCCGGAGGAGATGGGTGGAGAAGGGTGAGGAGCAGTAGGAGGAGGAGGAGGAGGAGGAGGAGGAGGAGGAGGAGGAGTAGAGCATGTTCGTGTCCTGGAAGCTCAGCGAGCCTTGGGTTAATCAGAGGATGCTAGCCCGTCCGCTATCAAACTGCACCGGCTGGGCATTAAGGCACCTTGCCACCCTGGCGCGAACCGCCCGTCACGGAGGAGGAGGAGGAGGAGGAGCAGAAGCTGAAGGAGACCACTGCAGACCCAAGACGCATCGACAGTGTTGCAGTAAAGCCTTTCTCCAACTTCCCTCTCCATAGGTCCCTGCAAGGACCCGTCTTGACAGAAGGGACTGGGATGGGGAAGGGCGAGGAGGACCAGGAGGGGGCGGGGCGAGGAGGAGAGGGAGTGGCGATGAGGGGAGGAGGAGGAGAAGCAGGACGACGAGTATTGAGATGCAGGAGTTCTCCTGTTCTGACCACTTCATATTGAGTCCGGTGCATGTCTTTCATACTTTTTGTGACGGCTTGTGAATATGTATCGTGTGGCTGTTTTGCTCAGTTTCCAGATGTACGGGTTTCTGATTGGTTAATGTTTTGATATGTTCTCAGCGGTTACGTTTTATGGTGTCGCATTGTTGTCTTTGGAACGGAAGTGCTGCATATGTTTATCCAGAATTGATGATTTCTTTGTTTCTTTTTGAAGGCTATCTGATTGCTTCATGTTGTGCAGGGTGCACGCTTGTTGCTTGAGAGCGTTTCCTTGTTAGTTCTTGTCGCGAGGTATGGTTGGTGATAACTTCTGGTAAGGGCGAGCAGGTGCCCTCCGTATTGCCCGGAGGTTGGCCGTGTAGGTTGACCCCCGTCAAACCCTTTATCGCACCTTCCCCCATCCCTGTCAAATCAAACCATGCGCCCAGGCTGGTTTCTATCGGGAATCCGCAGTGTTCGAGACAGGGTCCACACGCGGGCGGCGTCGCCCACGCATGCCGAGTCCGGTCAAAGAGTCCAGTTGCCGTATTGATGTCAAGACCGAGTATCCCGAAAACTTGTGAAGCCCAAGCGAACCACAACAACAACAACACACCATTTGTTGTTGCAGCATGACGGTTCAAAAGGATGTGCGCGCGCGCTCTTACGAAGTTTTCGGGGAACCATGCGATCATCAACACCGTCGCTGCACGCTACCAAGCTGGCCTGTCCTGCGCGCGTGTCAAAATCATTCGAACGCCTTCGCGCGCGCGTTAGGAGGCTGCTGGGGGGCGGTTCCTGATGCGGACCTTTCGCGCCCCTTGGCCGCTCGCGCGCACGTGTCGAAGTCGTTCCAAATCCTTCATCGCCGACTCGTGGACATGATCACCGTCGTCGTCGTCGGCGAGACTAGCATCGGCGCCACTATTGGCCGCGCCGTCGTCACCGTCAATTTCGTCACCATGATCGCTACTTTCTTAACCGCGTCCACCATTGTCGACATCACTATGATACCGCGCCCGCCCCAGCCACCGTCTCGCACTGAAGTGCACGCGCGTCAGCGCGGCGTTCGGGACGCGTTGCGAAGTCCTCAGCGGCCAGCGCCACCGCGGCCGCGCCAGCTGCTCCAGACTAGCTGGCCTTTCTGCTCGCGATAGCACGGTCGCAGCGATATGATAGCCAGCGCTCACGCTCAGCAGTCAGCGCAATCGCCGCTGCATTGGTTTTGCATACCGAGTTGCGTTTGGGTGGGTGGGGGCATTGCGCGAGTTGTGGGGTTGACCTTTCAAGTTTTTCAAAATTATCCCCGTGCGACCCTACCTAGGAGTTGGAGCATTTAGGAACGCAACATCTAAGCTTGGCTATGCTGTGCTGTGCTGTGCTGTGCTAATGCTGCGCTGCGCTATGCTGCGCTAAGCTAAGCTATGCTAAGCTATGCTAAGCTAAGCTAAAGCTAAGCTCAGCTAAGCTAAGCTAGGCTAAGATAAGCTAAGCTAAGCCAAGCTAAGCTAAGCTATGCTAAGCTAAGCTAAGATGAGACAAGCTAATATAAGCTAAGCCAGGCCAAGCTAAGCTAAGCTAAAGCTAAGCTAAGCTAAGATCAGACAGGCTAAGCTAAGCTGATCCAAGCTAAGCTAGGCTAGGCAAAGCTAAGCTCAGCTAAGCTAAGATGAGATACGCGAAGTTAAGCTAAGCTTAGCTAAGCTGGGTGAACCCAGGGGACGTAACTGGGGGAACCGCGGGGCGGATCCTGGGGGAAACGCCCGGGGCGTGGAACACTGCCCGGCCCTTTAAGCCAACACGGTAAGAACCCTTCTAGGCAGAGCCTAGGTAGGGAACTATTTCGTTTCGAAGAAGACATCAGGATCTGCTGCCGCGACCCCTTGGTTTATCGACCACCCTTAGATGGTACGGCTTAAACATGACTCTGCCCCTATCGGTCATAATATATGGGAATCCATACAATCCCAATTGATCTCCTTATTGACCCCCATCCTCAAATACGACGCGCACGCTCATTTATCAAACATCCGTAGTTTTCAAGACCCCCTTGCCACAGGAACGATACTTGTGCAAAGTTGACGCGCGCGCGCGTCGTCGCTCGTGCCTGCCAGAAGTTCTTCTCAAAGGAAATCGTGTGCTGCTGGATTTGAAGATCCAGATTTCCAAAACCATGGCCTCGCAACGCGGTTTTCTCAACGAAGAGGTATGCGGGCGACATTGCGAATCCTTATGACAGCCACTGGTGTTGTCGCACATTTCCACGCATGCAAATATCAATTGTTTACGCTTCGCGAGTCCCCACCAGCCAATTCAGAAGCCCTACCCACGAGAGCTGACGGGAAATGGAAAACAGAGACGTATATAGTGAAACAGAGCGGTCAAAGAGAGGAGGGGGAGGAACGTGTTGAGCCACATGGAGGCTATGTTGGAGCAAAGGAGGCCTTTTTGGAGCTATGGGGCTTTGGGGGGGCGTCTTGGGGTCCTCCTGGGGCTCTTTTTGTGGCACCTTTGGACCCTCTTGGGGCTCTGTGGGGGGTCTTGAGTTCCTCTTGGGGCTCTGTTGGGGCGTCTTGGGGCCCTCTTGGGCCCCTCTTGGGGCCCTCAGGGAGTTCTCGTGGGGCTCTCCTGGGAGCTTCGGAGGGCATCCTGGGGCCATCTTGGAGGCCATCGACCAAACGAGGAGGGTCCCTTATCTAGCGCCCCCCCCATAAGAGCCTTCAACATCGCCTCTCGGGATACCCTTGGGGCGTTCTTGGGGCGCTCTCGGGCGGTTTGGGGTCCGTCTTGGGAGCCTTTTGTTTGGGCTGCTGTTGGAGCTCTGATGGGCAATTTTGGGGCCATCTTGACGCCACAGAAGCGCATCGGAAGGGTAAAGGTGAGAAGGCCAACATCATCTGTTTGTCCCTAAATGTTTGAAGGGTATTGGCCTCAGCTTCTCGGGGAGGTCCTGAGGGGTCTCCGAGGGCACCTGGAACCGTCTTGTGGCCCTCTTTGGGCCTCTTGAAGGCCCCTTGGAGGCATGTCGGAATCTTCTTGGGTAATTTTGGATGCCATTTTGGGCTCTCCGAGGCCCTCTTGGAGCCATCTTGGGCCATGTTGGACGCCCTGACGACTCGCGACCCCCCCCTTCCAGGTCCAGGGGAGGGGGTAGCGGAAGGGGTCAAGCTACCCACCCGCCCGCAAGCCGTCTAGCTCACTCACACCCGCCCTCTCAACACACACGTAACACCCGAGCTTGAGCATGTTCAACGGTCGAAGCCGACCCCAGGTGCGCGACGCTTTGGCAAGGTGCGCCGCGCGCGCCAGGGGCGCCACGCGCGCCAGGCACCCCTGGGGCCCGAGCGCGCCGGGCGCGCTCGGATCGCCGGATGCGCCACGTGCCCCGGGCACGCCAGGTGTGCCGCACACTCTAGCCGCGCCAGGTGCGCCACGTTCGGTGCACGTGCAGAGTGCGTCGGGTGCGCCCGCGCATGGGACAACACACGTCGGGAGACATGTCGCCCCACGCCATCCCCAATGCCAATCACTGTGCAGCATTGGCGCCATCATTTGCCGCGCCATCGTCATCGTCATGATCTTCACCAACATCGCCACCATCATCACTTTCCGCCATTGTCGACGGCGCCATGCTGCCGCGCCCTCGTGGGTCACCGACTCGCTGTGCCGTGCTCGCGCGCCAGCGCCGCCTGCGAGACGCACTCGGGAGCTCCCAGCGGTCAGCGCCGCCGTGGCCGCGTCGGTCGCGCCAGGCTAGCTGGCTGCTCTGCGCGCGAGCCTGCGCGCGCTAGTGCGGACGAAGCGATGCGCCGGCGGCCGCAGTGATGCGCCAGCGACCGAGTTGCGGGTGAGCGGGTGGGACTCTTGCGTTGCCGATGTCGCACAGGGCCAAGACCGTTTCCAGTTATGAGATCTTGCGCTACCGCTTGCGATTCTGTCCCAGCATTTTGATCACGCGCGCGCAGCAACAAAAGCGAGAGGTCTTCGGACCCGTCGCAGAAATCGCGGCCCGAGAGCGGTGGCACAGGTTTGACGGCTTTCTCTCGTCATCTTTCCATACCTCGACTGCCCAGCTCTGTGCCATTCTTGTTGCAGTCCCGCACATTGTTCTGCAGATCGTATTCGCCACTGCGCTGCGAAGTGTGGAACAGAGGGTGGAGTGCGGGCGGAACGTCTCCAGGGGAGCTTCGGGAAGGCAGCAGGGGGCACGGCAGGGCCGGCAACTTTGAGAGCAAGCTTCGGTATGAGCCTCGTTGATCAGAAGCAAAGGAACTTCTGCATCCATGTCACGGGGGGAACAGCGGGGGCGTTAGGGTCAGTGCACAGGAATGGAAGGAAAACGTGCGGTTTCGCATGGAGCGATGCTATCAACGGTCCAGGGGTCCTGCGAGCACCATTCGCGGTGTAGCGAGTCAGCGGGCCTTGCCGTCTTATGACGTCCGAGGTAGACAGCGGGCTTTGGTTCCGAGCGTACCGTCGGTGAGTTCGCCGTTGCGTGGTTGATCGGGCAGTTCTGTGCATACCTTGCGCCCCCCACGCCTCCCGGAAAGAGGGTGGGCGGGGGGGGGCGGGGGGATGAGGGAGACACGGAAGAGGGAGGGAGATGGAGGGTGAAGGATGGAGGATCGAAAACGGCGATGAGGCAGAGAGAAGAGGAGTGGATGCGACTAATCTGGAAACGGGGAGATGATAATGGATCCAGAGGAGGTAGAGGGAGGATACAAGGGAGAGAGAGGGGGGGATGATGGCCAAATGGGGGAGGGGGGAGAGGCAAGCATTCAGATTCGCGGGGACCTCCATGGCAAGGTCATCCGTTTAAGATTCGTCACCATCTTCTTCGGATGTGGCGAACAGCAGGCCTTCAGAGTGGAGCATCTGAAACGGCCGTTTCAGATGATGCAAGAGAGCCCGAGAATTTCCCCCAAACATACAACAAGAGAGAGAGAGAGGAACAGTCAACAAGTATTCAAATAAAGAGAGAACTGCAAAGAGAGAGAGAGAGGGAGAGACAGAGAGAGAGAGAGAGAAAGAGAGAGAGAGACACCCAAAACAGGGATAGGGAGAGAGAGAGGAAGATCGAGGGACGAGTTGAGGGGAAGGGGGGACCAGGGACAGCAAAGGGGGGACAGCGAGCCAGAGAGGGGACGCCCGCCCCCCCCAGGTGTCCCTCGGCGCCTACGCCACGCTCACGGCGGCGGCGGCGCCGCTGTGCTGCGCGCGCGCGGGCGCGCCGTTCTCGTGCCACCGCCTGGCTGCCCGGGGCTCGCACCCAACCGGGGGGAGGGAAGGGGGGGTGGCCACGCCGCGTGGTGTTCGATCTCGGTGTCGTGCGGGCTGTCGATCTCGGACGTCTTCGTCGGCTCGGGGCTTGCGTTTGTTTGTGTTTGTTGTTTTTGTTGTCGGATCCTGGAGGTCGATGTGCTCTAGAGTGCCTTCCAGCGGCTGCGCCTCGCCGATGGCGTTCCGGTTGCGCCAGGATTGTCTCGAACGGCCCCAGGAGGGCGACCGCTTGTTACTGTGGCCCGTTGGGTGTTAGTGTGGCCCGTTGGGTGTTAGTGTGGCCCGTCGCGCTGCCGGATGGGAGTTACTGTGGCCCGCGCAGGCCGCTAAGTTAAAAGTAATATGTAAAGGTATCTCATGCTAGATCTGGAGAGATTCGCAACCCTTAAGGGAATGCACTCCCGCGCAGGCAAAAGTGGCCACAGTAACGCCCACCTGGAACCAACGTGGTAGCAGTGCTGTATTAGTGGTGTGGTGGTCGTTGTGCTGTGATAGTGGTGTGGTGTTGGTAGTGTTGTGGTAGTGGTGTGGTGTTGGTAGTGGCTGGTCGTGCTGTGTGCTGTGTTAGTGGTGTGGTGTTGGTCATGATGTGCTGTGTTAGTGGTGTGGTGTTGGTAGTGTTGTGTCAGTGGTGTCGTGTTGGTCGTGTTGTTGAATTGTTGGTAGGTAGTAGTGTTGTGGTAGTGGCAGTGGTGCTGTGGTAGTGGTGTTGTGGTACTGGTGTTGTGGTGTTGTGGTTGTGGTATTGTGGTAGCGGTGTTGTGGTGTTGTGGTAGCGGTGTTGTGGTGTTGTGGTATTGGTATTGTGGTAGTGGTGTTGTATTGTGGTAGTACTATGGTAGCGTTGCGTCCGTACTGTGGTAGTGTTGTAGTGGTATTAGTGTTTGAAGAAGCCCTGGGAGCTCAATTTTGAAAAGGACCCGCGCTCCTGTGGACCTCCTGTGAGGTCTCTGAGAGTCTCCTCCGTGTTGCCCTGTTGGACCCTGGGCTCCCAGCCGTCAAGGCGCCCGGATCCCACCTTGGGCTCCCAGCTTGATCACACCTAACATCCTTAAAGGAGGATCGCGAGTCGTGCCTGGGCTGTAGTAGTAGAAAAGGATATAGCCGTGCCTCGGTTGCGAACCAAACAACTACGGGACTGGCAGGACGAGGCATCCTGGCATCCTAGGCGAGGCCGAGGAGACGAAGGAGAAAACGAGCGTATTGCATCCTTACCTTGCGAGGTCTCAGAGAACACGTGCACCCTTGCATTCTAGAGAATACTTCTCCTCCCCCCCTGCCCGTCCCTCTCCTCCCCCTCCCTCTCCCTCCTCCTCCCTCCCCCTCCCCCTCTCCCTGCCCCTCCCTCTCCCTCTTCCAAAAGCCGTTTGTGGCTCAAGACGGCTCAGGGAGGATGCCTCGTTGCGACCAGTGCCGTGTTAGGGAATACCACTCATAGGGAGTACTAGTCCTACGGAGTACTAGCCGTAGGGAGTGCTAGCTCTAGGGAGTACCGGTCCTAGGAATTACTACCCCTAGGGCGTACTAGTCCTAAGGAGTACTAGTTCTAAGGGGTACTCGTGCTACGGAGTACCAGCCCTAAGGAGTACTAGTCCTACGGAGTGCTAGTCCGAGGGAGTGCTAGTCCTAGGAAGTACTGGCGCTAGGGAATGCTAGCCCTAGGGAGTAATAGTCCTACGGAATATTACTCCTAGGGAGTACTAGTCCGAGGGATTCTGGTCGAAGGGGCGGCAAGGGGGCACTAGTCGTTGGGCGTATTACTCCTAAGGAGCATTTGTCCTAGGGAGTACATGTACCGGGGAATACGAGCCTTAGGGATTACCGATGCTAGGGATCTCTAGACCTGAGGAGTATTCGTCGCAAGGATTTCTAGTCATAGGGATTATTAGTCCTAGGGAGTACTATGCCCAGGGGTTACTATGGGTTCCTAGGGCGTCGAGGGCAAAGAAACACAAAACAGCAACGAACAAACAACAACAACAACAACAACACCACCAACAACAACAACAACAACCACAACAACAACATCATCACCATCATCAACAACATCAACATCAACAACAACAGCAACAACAACACGCACCACTGACAAACAAATGAACTAACAACAACAAGACAACAACAACACAACAATCACACATATGCATATGTGAGAGAGCGTGTTCTACCGCTGCTGGCGGAAAACCGGGGGGGGTCACTACGGGTTCATCATGAAAAGGGGGGGGTCATTACCGCTTCGAACCCCTCCCCCCCCCTCCCTCGAAGACCTGGGGGGGTCACTACCGGTTCGACCCCCCCCCTTCGAAAACCGAGGGGGGGTGCGGACAGTGGTGGGGAGGGTGGTGGTGGGGACAGTGGTGAGGGGACAGCGGGACAGTGGTCGGGACAGTGGGACAGTGTTAGGGATTGTAGTGGTGGGGACAGTGGTGAGGACAATGGTGGGGACAGTGGGGACAGTGGACAGTGGTGGG